AATCTAAGCAATGTTTTTTTTAATGCTAGGAATGTTTCTGAACATGAAAAGAGTAGATGCCAAGCACATGTGACATTATCAGAAAAATCTAATGACAAGTCCCTTTTTACAATGTAGACAGGGGTCTTGACTCCAATGTATGAACAAGTGTTTGATTCTCATTGGTACACTTAGGAACAATCCGAGGCCTAGCATGAGAATCTCAGTTACATCTGAGCCCAGCCCAAGTCTTCTGGCTGATACAATTACAGTGATTTCCATAAATGGTAATCACATCACATGCTTTGACCTTTATCGGGACATGACAAAAGCTGGCTTGAATACTGTATGTGGCAGACTGCTGTTTCTTGTCTTAGGACAAGTCTTCTCCTTCCATTTGTAGGAAAGCAACAGCAGTCATGCATATAGACAAGGAGAAAGCCAATTTGAAGAAGCCAACGCTGCCAGTATCCGTATTTACATTTGGGTCATGTAATGTTGCTGTGTTTTGTAATTGAGCATTGTCAAGTGTAGGTGGTCTGTGTGCTGTGCTCACTCCACTCGGCAGGCAGAGAGAGGAGAGGAGGTAGGGCTCTGGGCTCTTGTTTGCGTGCGAGTCTGGGTCCATGTGTAGGTGATGCTGATGATGGAGTCCATTAAATATTAAGGGAGATCTCTCAGGTCCCAGAAATAGAACAAGAAAGGCACATCTACTGCGGAGACAGGAAGAGCTGGCCCAACCAACAGCAGAAATCTGAACGTGTTGGAGGTTGTGTGTTTAATGCGTTTGTGTGTGGTAACTCTCTTTGTTGTCATTCATCATGATTAGCAACATAATTAATAAACAGAATTAGCCTATACAGCTGTAGAAAGAACAAAGAGACCACTGCAAAATTATCAGTTTCTCTGGTTTTACTATTTATAGGTATGTGTTTGGGTAAAACTAACATTTTTGTTTTATTCTATAAACTACTGACAACATTTCTCCCAAATTCCAAATAAAAATATTGTCATTTAGAGCATTTATTTGCAGAAAATGAAAACTGGTCAAAATAACAAAAAAGATGCAGTGTTGTCAGACCTCGAACAATGCAAAGAAAATAAGTTAACGTTCATTTTTAAACAACACAATACTAATGTTTTAACTTAGGAAGAGTTCAGAAATCAATATTTGGTGGAATAACCCTGATTTTCAATCACAGCTTTCATGCGTCTTGGCATGCTCTCCACCAGTCTTTCACATTGATGTTGGGTGACTTTATGCCACTCCTGGCACAAAAATTCAAGCAGCTCGGCTTTGTTTGATGGCTTGTGACCATCCATCTTCCTCTTGATCACATTCCAGAAGTTTTCAATGGGGTTCAGGTCTGGAGATTGGGCTGGCCATGACAGGGTCTTGATCTGGTGGTCCTCCATCCACACCTTGATTGACCTGGCTGTGTGGCATGGCGCATTGTCCTGCTGGAAAAACCAATCCTCAGAGTTGGGGAACAATGTCAGAGCAAAAGGAAGCAAGTTTTCTTCCAGGACAACCTTGTATGTGGCTTGATTCATGCGTCCTTCACAAAGACAAATCTGCCCGATTCCAGCCTTGCTGAAGCACCCCCAGATCATCACCGATCCTCCACCAAATTTCACAGTGGGTGCGAGACACTGTGGCTTGTAGGCCTCTCCAGGTCTCCGTCTAACCATTAGACGACCAGGTGTTGGGCAAAGCTGAAAATTGGACTCATCAGAGAAGATGACCTTACTCCAGTCCTCTACGGTCCAATCCTTATGGTCTTTTGCAAACCTCAGCCTGGCTCTTCTTTGCTTATCATCAATGAAGGGCTTTTTTCTAGCTTTGCACGACTTCAGCCCTGCCCCTAGGAGCCTTTTTAAAACCGTCTTCGCCGTGCACTTCACCCCAGCTGCCGTTTGCCATTATTTTTGTAGGTCACTTGATGTCATCCTACAGTTGTTGAGTGACATTCAAATGAGTTGGCGGTCATCCCGGTCAGTAGAGAGTCGTTTTCGCCCTCTGCCGGTCTGTAGCTTTGTTGTCCCCAATGTCTGCTGCTTGACCTTGTTCTTATGAACCGCCGTCTTTTAAATTTTAAGGATGGAAGCAACCTGACGCTCACTGTATCCCTCTGCCAGTAAAGCCAGAATTGAACCCTTCTTTTCCTCACTCAAAACGTTCCTTTTCAACTCTTTTGGCATGGTCAATAGTTATTTTTTGATTAATATTACTTTTGAGGTACTATCAGCACTGTTTTTGCCATCTAGCTGGTCCTATTGCAAGAGGATAGTGATGACCACAGCAGTGGTTTTTATACTTTTCCTCGTTAAATAAGATTTGGAATGGAATGGCAGTAGAATGAGGTGTGCCTGTGTTGGAATTCAACATACACTGGAATGGAATGGCTGTCATACATGTAGAGATGCTGATTTAAGAAAAACTTGCAGTGGTCTCTTAATTTTTTCCACAGCTGTATATATCCCAATCAGAGGTGGGCTGGTTGGCCCTTTATCTATGGCCAGATGGGTTATTGCCTACATCCTTGCCATATCAGTACTTGGATATTGTTATGGAAGTAGTTTATATTTTCCCCTAATTTCTTTGTAAAGGCTAACATGTTCCGACTCGTTCTATTTATAGCATCCTAAATGCACTCTGTTTTTTTAATCCTCCTGCATGTTTGCATGGAGATCTCAGGGTGATGTTAGATGTTGCTTGTGTCAGCCAGTCTCTCCCTCTGTGTCTCTGTGGCCAGTCTGAGCCTGGGAATTATATAACATTAGAACTTGTCACTGTGAATGTCTGGCCTGCCACACTGAGGTCTATTTCAGTTGACAAATCAAATTTGCTGGGATTCGGTGTCTTTGTGCAAAGGGCTGTAATATTTGGTCAGTTCTGGGGCAGATTCAGAAAATATTCATATTTCTTTTAGTTTCAGACGTTTGTGTGTTACATGGCGACACATAGTAGATAGATGCATTTTATGAATCTATTTATCATACCCATGTGGACTATTTGTTCGTCCCATTATGCATGAAGGATGATCTTTTAACTGGGTATTGTAGGGCCTTCTTTCCATGTTCTGTTCCTGAGCAGTCCCGAGATCAGCAGAGCTTACCGCTCTAGTCTAGACCAAAGAAGCCCATAACATGTGTATGATGGATGGCTAGTCTACTTTGCAGCGGCTCTCTTGTGCTGCTTAGATATGTGTGTTTGCTGTGTTTTATTTTTAGGCTGTCATAATTCACTCCATTTCCCTCTCCCACTTCCTCTCCCTCTGATGTTCTCTCCCTGTCAATGTCAATTTGACTTAAATATATTCTCTGCTTCCGCAAAGCCATCGAATATTAATACATGGAGAAAAACAATATCTGCCCAACAGAGATGGATTTATTTTGTTCTCTCTGCCTCTATCTTTCTGTCTGCGCACGCACACAGACAGAAAGATAGAGGCAGAGAGAACGCACGCTCACACACACACACAACCAAAAGTCAGCCAGTCAGCCAGCCATTAGCAACAGTCTTGAAGCCGCTGTTACCTGGGCAACATGGTTAAAGGTACAGCTCAAGGCAGAAATCAGGTTAGACAGAGAGAGAGAGGGGCATGAGCACGAAGGGGGGAAACAAGATGGAGGACACTAAGAGCTACAATAGGGCTTGGGGGATATCATCAAAGCAATGAATGCTTTTAGAGTAATATGTCCATAGCAGGGAAAGGAACACTACTCAGTCTACTCCATTAAGACGAATGGATACACATCAAAAGAAAACCCTGCCACGCAAAAGGGAAAATTACAAACATAGGCTATAACCAAAACAATAGACAAACAGTAGTGAAACTGCTGGTATCTTACTAAAATAACTCTAGAAGCTTAGGCTACACTGTGAGAACCCTGGAGCTTTGGCAGTAGACGTCTTAGCAAGCCTCATAACACCCACCAGTCTGAGACCTGCAGTCACCATGCCAGCCAGACTCACAGATACCAGCTTGAATAATGGTACGTATTTAAACCACACATCCCAGGTACACTATACCAGGAACTGGAACAGGAACCAAAATTAACATTTGTATCAGTTTGGGTGGAGCCCATGAGGCCAGTAACACAGGGACAACATCTTAGTACTAGCTTGTTTACACAGTCTGTCAAAAGATAGTTCTATTCTAGACAGAATGGTGAAAAGGAGGAGAGGATGAATAGAATAGATGGAGCAGGGAGAGAGGGAAGTTTAGTTTCTGACCTGCACACACAGCTGTTCCATGAAGACAATCCCCCGTGGGTCAAATTAAGCAACATGGTATATTCCAGAGCAACACATGACACCAACACACCTCTGTGGGCACAAATACACACTCACTCATTCCATCCACTCGCACAAACAAGTTTGAGTCAGTCACAAATACGCACTTACAAAAGAAAGAGAGCACACTAAAACCCCACATTTATTTTCCCAAGTCTTTCTTTTTTCGGTTGAAACTTTCCATCTCGCTACATGACAGCCTTCAGAGATGTTAGGGCTGAGCAGATCTGACAATGTCACTTTCTCTTTTGTCTGTCATGTCACCCTCCCCGTCACACAGCCCCCTACCCCACCTGCCCCACCACCACCAATACATAGGACCCTGTAATGATGTAATGCTGTTTGACCCTGTGGATGGATGGATGGATGGATGGATGGAGGCTGGGGGATGGGAGGAGGAAACGGGAAAAAGGACTGTGACATCTGCAGGGCCAGAGGCAGCGAGGAGAGAGAAAGAGTGGGGGAGGAGAGAGGGGGGGAAACGGGGAGGGGGAGAGAGGGGTCTGTGTGTAGCCTACTGCTATCCCTGCCTCGCATCCTTCCATCCCCTCAGCTGATGTCTGACCTCTTCCCTAGCTGACAATGACAGAGCGGACATTCATTCAATGAGTCTATATTACAGGCCTACTAACAACACCCCACCGTTACTCCACTGTGTGTTATTACTGCGGATGTATATTATTTGTACACAGGGTTCTATATTCTTCATTTTCCTCAGCAGATAATCAGCACCATGGAAACCCAGGTGTCCAACGGTCCGAGCGGAACCAGCCTGCCTAACGGGCCAGTGATCAGCACCAACGGTGCCACAGATGACAGCAAGACCAACCTGATCGTCAACTACCTGCCTCAGAACATGACCCAGGAGGAATTCAAGAGCCTGTTCGGTAGCATCGGAGAGATTGAATCCTGCAAACTGGTCCGAGACAAGATTACAGGTATTCATGATGCTTCAGCAGGTACAGTTGATGAATAGACAGACAAACAAAATCTATTTCTAGTTGGAGGATAACAAATAATCACATACTGTATATGTACCTGTAGGTACAGTTATTTTGGTGCAAAAACAGTTTCTAAAGGACCATTATCGATATCTGTTTTTAACGATTTAGGCCAGAGTTTGGGCTATGGGTTCGTAAATTATGTGGATCCCAATGACGCAGACAAGGCCATCAACACACTCAACGGTCTCAAACTACAGACCAAAACAATTAAGGTAAGAGCACCTCTCCTTCCTGCTTTTCAACCTGCACCACTCTCCATCTTCTCTGCTTCAATACGCTGCGGAAGACCAGCAGAAAGGCAGGGAGCAACTAAAAGAAAGGGAGGTGGAGAGAGAGGCAGAGAGAGGCAGACGTGACAAGAGGGGAAGGAGGAAAAAATGGAGGAGGGAGAGGCAGGGAGGGGTCGCAGGGACAAAGGAAGTGAGCAGAAGAAGAAAAGAGAGAGGGAGAGGAGGAGAGGGAGAGGAGGAGAGGGAGAGGAGGAGAGAGGGAGAGTGGAGGTCAGAAAGCAAGGGGCTAGCAGCATGCATAGGTGATTGTGATGGAAATGTAATCAGGGAGTCTCACTGTGGGGCACGGGGGTCAGTCCAGGCTCCCCCATCTGCCTCCAATCTGGCCTAATTAGGGGGCTTCTTTGTCCCCAATATGGATGGGGGGAGGAGATGTAGGGAGGAGCGGGAGGGGGAGGAGGAGGAGGAGGAGGAGAGGGGGGCAGATTAAACACTACTCCATCCGTCCCTCCGCCCCCTCCTCCCACCTGATCAAAGTAGATCAAAGATTGGGATAAAGTGCAGGCTTAGTTAAAATCGGACTTCTGAAAGACTGGGGCATAGAGAGTCAACAGCATCAGGAGCTGGGTTGGGCTGTTGGAGTTATACAGACAGGTGGTAAATCATATTGTTAATCATTTGTACAATATGTTTTAGTTACATTACTGTACAAATACACATATATTGTATTTAGGGGGCAATATTAACATTATTCCTAGTGTTACTAATATAATACCAATATAATTGGGCCAATATAAATTACAGAAAATGTATACATTTATTTATGTTGTTGTTAATGTTGTTATTACAATTGTTAAAATTAAAGATGTTGATATTATCAGAAGGGCTATTTTGAAAATCAATGAATTTTATACAGCCATAAAACAATGACCAAGCAAATGTAATATTTCCACAAAAGAGGGATGGAGGGCCGTGGCAGGAGGAGTAAAGGGTAGGGGGTAGCTTGGGGAGCAGAATGCCAATGACAGGATTAGGGGCCATATGGGTTACAGGCACCATCTGTACTGTGGGAGAGACAGGGAGAGGGTTAATTATAGGGTAGCCTCCGCTACCCCCATTCCCTCCTTTAGCACCCCCCCCAATCACTGCATCACACACCCTGTCCACACACACTATACACGATACTGGAGTCCTACACACTCACTGCACCATTTAGAATGAGTACAACCTTATACTCTGGGTCAAATACATCCATAGGCTATGTATTGTGCAAGGATAATACTCAATATTGTCTGTATATCTCAATCTAAATGTTCACTCTCACTAGAAATGTCCCATATTTATATCTAAAACACATTCATTCAAGTTACACTGTACTTGTATATGTGAGTATGTGTTTATATAATAAGGAGTGAATGTTTTAGTGAGTTGACAGTCAGGGATGCTGTCTTGTGATCTATTTATATTGTTTGCTGGTTGCCAGTGGAGCTGTTCTCCCTCCAGGCTAGAAACAAAGGAAAGAGGTAGGAGAGGGAGGGGAAATCAGCCTATCTCTGGCAACACTCGCTCCCTCTCCCTCCATCCGAAAACAAACAACAGACCACTCACAACAATGCACAGACTCTCACTATCTATCATGCTCTCTCACTGGCTTTCATACACGCCAACACATGAATATGTAGACATTTTCATAATCAATCTAAGTCACACTATAGTCTCACCATAGAATACTAATGTCAACTTTGCACAATGGTGGACACAATCAGTCACAAAGCATTTAAAAAAAACAGTTACACACATTGACAAAAAAGAAGAGTAAAATGAATATTCATGCATTGCTAGGAGTAACTACTATATGATTTTATGTGCAGTAAAGATATGGGAAAACTTTGATATGATAATAATGTGTTGATATCAGTGTTAAATCAGTGATATGTGTTAAAATTAGTGTTTCTTTGATGTGCTGTAGGTATCGTACGCCCGGCCCAGCTCAGCATCTATCCGTGATGCCAACCTGTATGTGAGCGGCCTGCCTAAGACCATGACCCAGAAGGACATGGAGCAGCTGTTCTCCCAGTACGGACGCATCATCACCTCCCGCATCCTAGTGGACCAGGTTACAGGTACAGCCTTAACTCACTTCTGGCACAACCCTACTCGAACCTACCATTACCCTACTCTAACATACCCCCGACCTACCCTAACTTACCCCTAACCCTACTCTAAAGTTCCCTGACCTACCCTAACTTACCCTAACCCTACTCTAACGTACCCCTGACCTACCCTAAACCTACTATAATGTACCCCTGACCTACCCTAACCCTACTCTAACGTACCCCTGACCTACCCTAATTACCCTAACCTACTCTAACATACCCCTGACCTACCCTAGCTTACCCTTACCAACTCTAACCTACCTCCCCCTAACCAACTTTAACCCTACTCTAACCTTGCCCATCTCATTGGACCAAGTCAGAGTCATGACTCACCCTGCCTCACCTCCTTCTCACCACTCAGGTGCTAACATTAGCTTGCTTTCTGACCCCGGAGCAGGTATATCGCGAGGAGTGGGCTTCATCCGGTTTGACAAGCGGAACGAGGCGGAGGAGGCTATCAAGGGCCTGAATGGCCAGAAGCCCCTGGGCGCAGCCGAACCCATCACGGTGAAGTTCGCCAACAACCCCAGCCAGAAGACAGGCCAGGCCCTGCTCACCCAGCTGTACCAGACCGCTGCCCGCCGCTACACTGGCCCACTGCACCACCAGACCCAGCGCTTCAGGTACTGCCCCCACCACCACCCAATCCCTGCTCTGACCTGTCTGTCATCTGACCCGACACACCTGTCCTGCTGGAACGAGCACTACGGCGCTCGCTCATTCTATCTTCCTCTCTCTCTTTTTTCTTGACTTTCTTTTAAACTGCAGCCTCATCCCTCCATTTGGAAAGGGACCAGATCCAAATAACAGCACAAAACCAATGTAAGAGACCCCCAATTTATCAAAGCACAAATCAAATGAAAGCAAAGCAAAGTGCTCCAAACCAGTCAAATAACATAGTATCTAATAAACAAGATGAAGAAATTACATTTAAATGAATCAGACAATGCAGATCTCCAACACACACACACACACACACTTATCTGCACACTAACAAACTGATTTGCATAGTGCGTTGCTGTGGTTCGCTAGGGCTAGGCCGTGAGTGGCTCTGTGATGGGTTGCTGTTGGGATAGACAGACAGACGGCTCCTCTACAGTACAGTGAAGGGGAAGGGCGCCCTCTGGAGGCAAGCTGGTGGAGGAGCAGGAGCTGCATGTTAAAAGGCCTTCCTCCTCTCAGACCTCACCACTAACGTCTCCACCCCCTTCATCTCTCCCTCTTGCGTTGCAGACTCGACAATTTACTAAACGCCAGCTACGGAGTCAAGAGGTAAATGCCAAAGGTGTACTTTGTAAAATAACAAAATATACTAAAAAAAAAATACATCCATGCCTAAGAACAAAACTCAAACAAAGTGACCGGAATACCACCTGCTGCCTTCACCTTGAAATGAGAGATTATGAAAATATTCCCTAATTCCCTATTCACACTGCCCATTAAACTGAGTAGTTATGTAACAACCAGTCCAGACAGTATAACACATCTAAATATGCTAAGCAGGGTATTCTGGCATGGCTTTGTTTATAATATTTTGGTTCTTTCTTTTGGTTTGATTACGTAGTGGAACTGATGTGTGTCTATTTCTTTATGAACTAACATTATCAGTTTCGGTTTTGCTTTAATGTCCCTTTTTTTCCACCAGCATGGACATACCAGATTGCGTTTGCGTCTTCTTCTTCTGTTTGCTCCAATTTTCCTATGATTTGATTTGGATTTGCTTTCATCCCTCTCTAGGTTTCTGTGTTTTGTTCAATATTGTGATTTCTGTTGAACATTGTGATTTCTGTGTCTAATTTTTGCAGAGGCTTTGGTCAGCAGAGACTATGACTAAAATATGCAGAGTATGGGTGTTTGTGTGTCATAGAAGCACACAGTGTGTTGTTTTGTGTGGAAGCAGGTAGTCTGGAACTACTGTGGTGCCCTGCCCACACATATATTTATGTATCTACTCACTGCAGAAAAAGTGGGGATGGAGATCGATTGGGTCTCCAGACAGACTCCATGCCCCTCCGACTACAAAGCCTTCAGCGCATATCATAGCTACAAACATGGCCAGCTGATTGCTGCGTGGAACTTCAGAATGACACCCAATGTAGTTCTCCCTCTCTCCTTCCTAGGTTCTCCCCCATCACCATCGACAGCATGACCAGCCTGGCGGGAGTCAACCTGAACCGGGCCCACCGGAGCCGGCTGGTGTATCTTCGTCTACAACCTATCGCCCGAAGGCTGACGAAAGCGTCCTGTGGCAGCTGTTCGGGCCCTTCGGCGCCGTCACAAATGTCAAGGTCATCCGTGACTTCACCACCAACAAATGTAAGGGCTTCGGCTTCGTCACCATGACCAACTACGATGAGGCAGCCATGGCCATCGCTAGTCTCAACGGTTACCGCCTGGGAGACCGCGTGCTGCAGGTCTCCTTCAAGACCAGCAAGCAACACAAGGCCTGAGAGAGAGAGAGAGAGCTGCTAGCTCACGCCAGCTCCTTCAGCCAGCAGGGAGCGCCACTGAGCTCCCTGTTACCGTCACCCTACATGGGCCTGGACTGTCTCTCTCTCTGACGCACACACACCCATACACAGCCCAATACACATACATACATACACTATCAGACATGCATACACACAAACATACACAAAGTCAGAGTTTCAAACAAATACACTAGTAGAGTTTTTATTTTCTCTTTACACAACATGCTAGTCCTTCCCTATGTTTGCCTGGATTGAATTAGTAGGGGTGCGTTGGGTAGTTGGTCTCTGGGGTTGGGGGTAAAGGCCTCGATGAGGGAGACAGTCTAACGAATGTGACAGAGAATGTGTGCTGAGTGCTTTGATTGAATTCAGGCAAATAATGACAAAAACTGCTGAAACAAAATGATCAAAAATCTAAAATGAACTACAAATATGTGCAATTTAAACCCCAAACGTTTACCCCACGAACTATCCCATTATCTTGCTGGAGAGAGTGTAGTCACTTTTTTTTACACTTGGGCATTTTGAATTTGTGATTTTTTTTAGATCAAAGAAAATTAATTAAAAACAGTGTTCTCTTATATACGTATATTAAAATATAACTATATATTCAATATTTAAGGTGGTTATAATAGCCAAGTATGTAAGCTTTTTCTAGAAACTTTGACTACTGTTTCCTGGCTCTACATTAGGTAGGTTGTGCCTAGCTTTAGGGCAGTTTCTCTACCCTATTAAGGTCACATCCAATACGATTTAGGTTATCAAACTGAACAGATACTGGTCACAAAGACAAGCAGCCTGAAGGCCACCAGAATTACACAACACAGATAGTCTCACTCACACTGAGAGAAAACACAACACATCCACTACAGAAACACACAGTCACACATATCAGCCCTGTTAGGGGGAAAACAACACTAGAATACTGAACATCACTGACATCCAATAATCTCCCTGTATTTTTTCACTCTGGTTCTTCTATTCAGAGAGTAGAATTGATGGATTCCACCACAAACAGAGCTGTCTGTGTGAACAAAGTAGAGCATTGTCCCAGCTAGTGTTCCCATGGAGACAGTGTTCATGTACAATTCTCTGAGAGACTAGGGACCGTGAGTTTAGAGCAAAGTCATTTCACCAAATCACAGAGCCACTTTACCAAAACACCCAACCAGATATAACACCCCTCCAAGGGAATGAGAAGGTTTTTGCAATTCAATGGAAATGATTGGCCTGGCTAGACAGGCTCAACATCACCATTATGCATGGATCAGATTGAGAGGACGGTAGTTTTGACTTAGGTTGAGATTCCGTCATGACTCTGTGATATCTCCTCACTGAGTCCCAGAGGGTGAGACAGCTTCTTACCTGTTCCTCAGTTCGCTAAACACTCCTCAGTTTCATTCAAACCCCTTATATGACACTTTATAGAAGCTCCTGAGAATCAGTTTATAATCACTCTCATTGTAACCCTGCCTGCCCTGTCAAAATAGAAGAAATCAAGCCTGCAGAAACCAACAGTAACAAGTTTGTTTATCTCACATTGGCAATTTAAAAAAGTGATTGTTGATTTGCAACATCTGATCGGCACTATCACCTAGCTAGAATGTTTAAAAAATATATCAACAAACCCATGGAAATCATTTGTGACACCCCTTGATGAAAATATAACGACAACATAGTCTTGGTGACTGTCTGTCAGAAATATCTGACAAGACGTTTCATGGGGAGAGATAGGATTACAATATAAAGACATCTGCATATAATAGATTAAATAAGGTAAAGTGTGTTCAAGACATTTTTGCTTTTCTAAATAACGCTGTGTTAGCCAAAGAGGACAACCATCTCTTTGAAAGGATTACTTTAGAGATAAATCTATTTTTATACATACAAAAGAACAAGACCTTGTGCTGAATTTTTACAGATTCTTAAAACTCTGAAAACATGGGACACCGCATGGCTGTATTTTAAGACCTTTGATCTTTGAGAGAGAGAGGGAGGAGAGCCTGCATGCGGTGTATAGGTGGGGGTCGAGGAAAGGGGGCGAAGAAGAGAAGTTATCTCACACAACCTTACTTTTTCAACCACAACCTATAAACAAACTATTGAAAACATAAACAAAGACATTGGAATAGAACAAATACACATCAACACAAACCAATTCAATGATTAGGAATCAAACTTTACAGAGACACATCTGCATTACTAATACTGCAATCTTTGAGTGTAAACTAGACAAACACATATGGCTTTCTCTGAAGTTGCGTACAGTCAGTGTTGCTTCAATGATTGTGCAGTGAAGTGTATTGCTTTCAAAGGAGACACTTAAATCAGGCTGCAGTAAAGACAGTGAGTCAGGCCCAATGATTTGTCCTCACAGACACCTTGGGCTGGTTTGAAACAGAAAGGCTTGAAGTAGATTCTCAATAAAGCGTCCTTTCAATGCAATGATGATTAGGTATATTTGAATTAAGATTTAGCCAAAGAATTTGGAATATGGGTGTCAATAAGGAATAATTCAGTCTATACTATACTAACTGTTCCCCTAATAATTCTTCTATAAACCATTATCATTTATTGCATGAAGATCCCTTATCATTTTAAATCCCCATAGCGCTTGCAGAAATATCTGTTGTTCATATCAAATTATATCAGAATGGAACTAATATCTTTTGGTTAACATATCTGTTGAGTAAATATAATTTAGCCCATTTGCACAGGTGCTTACCACAAACCTACAACAATGTATACAAATAATTCACCTTTCAGCAAAAAACCACGACAGTTCCACACAAGTGTCTCTTGAACCTCAATACTGTAATATTCACACCATCCGCTCACAATAGGAATCCAACATATCAGAGTATGACAGCATTGTTTCAGTTTAACCCTATGCTCTTCCACTGTTACACCATCAGCCTCTTTCTAACCCTGACCATTCCATTTCTTACTGTGCCCCAGTTGTATATTGGTTGTGTGCCAACCAAAACAAACAAAAATGAAAAGTCAGACAATAACACCCTGTCATAATTTAACTCCACCCCACACCTCCTTCCCCATTCAATGAGTTGTGCCCATACTCAAGAGAAGGTAGCACAGTAGGACTGATACAGCATCACTTTAGGAGACCAGATGTGAATCTTGGGAACAGAACAGCAAATAGGCCACGTTGTTGAGCTGCAGTTGAAGTAGTAGTCCCACTTGTGATATGGGGTACAGTTCCAGCCCAGTTCCCCCACACCCTAGAGCAACAACAGGCCCTAGGCCACACCCTAGACTAGACCAACAACAAACTGTCCCATTTTACACAGCCAATACAGAGACCCTCTTCTCTTCCCACACCTACGTATGGTAGAGAGCCAAGGACAATGGCAGTAGACAAATGTACTGCACCGCTTGAGCAACAATAAACAAATAATCATTTAAAAAGACAAAAAAACTTTCCTATGGAACAATGTGCTTTGTTTTTATATTGACTGAGAACAAAAATATATATATATTTTTTAAAAGAAAAAGAAATTAAACATCACACTGAAATGGTTTGCGGAAAAGGCGGAAGGATCAAATGTAAAGAAATAAAAGTGTTAATGCACTGATTCATTAAAGAGAATCAAACAAGCACCGATGGAGAGCTCTGAAAATGTCCATAATCCCAGCCCCGGATTAGTGCTCTGAACATGCAAGCTAAAACTAACTGCATATTATTATTGGGTGAATAAAAAAAGAGCAATTTAATTGAAAAGACCTTGAAAGGGATACTGTCTAATATATCATCAGTTTTAGCCCACGTCAATTTTAGAATTATCATTTTTCCTGTAATTTATTGATTTTCTTTTACATATCAAGACTCACATGTTAACTTAGCGTATTTGTGTTGTTGACGTTGCCATATAGGACACACATGGGTCGAAGATTTTATTTGGTTGCTTTGATTGGGTCATATTTGTTTTCTCCATTCCATTATTGAATTAGTTGCAGTTCTTAGTGTATGCAGATTTTAGACTTAGTTAGAATTTTATTTCAATCAAAATGTGTTCAATTGTGTTTGTAAAAGTCTGTGGTAGCTTTTGTTGCAACATAAACAATTTAAACAGAAAAAATTCAAGATAGCGCCAACAAACTTGTATTATTTGGGCGACTTTAAGCTTGTAGTTTTAACTTATTGTTAACTTAAAAACTATTTATTATTATTATTGCCTCGTATAAAGTATGTTTTGTGTATATTTATGGTTTATTTCATTATATTTGCAAGTTTAAAAGATTTTAAGTTTGCCAAAATTGTGGTTACATATTCTTTCTTAAAAAAAGGGAACAAATAGATTAAAAAACAGCTTTAGAAGTACAATTTGGAAATGTTCTCCATAGTCAAAGAATGCACTGCTATATTTAACTAATTGAAGTGTATAAACATACATGCTGTGTGCTAGATGTTATGCCTTTACTGCCTGTGTTCTGTTTGTCTTGTTAAATGAAAACCTTTTGATTATTTAATCTAATCACAGTCTTGTTTTTCCAGCCACTGAGAACCTTGGGGAGTGTCAGTCAGGACATGGGCTGGGCCTGGGGTGTGGCCTATTGTAGGCTCCAGGGCGGAGCCTGGACCTTAGGCAGTGCCTGAGGCTCCATGTGCACTCAACATGCTTTCCCTCCTACTGCTGATGAACAGAACTACTGTAGTTATTAGAAGGACCATAGCACAGAAACTCCAACGTGACATCTGAGTTCTATGTACAGTAGTTCTAACAGCAGCCAGGAGGAAAGCATCGTTGGGGGTTACTCGTATAGGAAAGGGGTCAGTGGTTCTTCTGTTTCTCAACCAACTGTATTTTGTGTCTATTTATTTAGAAGAGGGGACACAGTAACTTAGTGACATTCTTCTTACAACATTTTCCTGGAATGGTAGATCAAATCAAAGGAGAAAATGATCAAAACAGATCTACTGGCATCAATGTATCAATGTCAGTAGGAAGATATCAAAATCTCATACTTCCAAACATGACCAAATGAACAATGACAAAATGTAACAAAGAAAAATAAACCTTTCAGTTTAGTTAGGATATTTATTACTGGGATTTCAGCTGAAGACGCTTGAAGACTTTTTCATGGAATTGTTTAATTATTTGTACTTTACATGCCAGAAAAAAATAAAAGGTTACAAATCTGAGTGACCCATGTTGTTTTTACAAGATGACATTGAGCATTGTTGTCGTTTCCAGAAGGTAACAATGCAAAACCATAGATGCGCATAAGACAAACTGCCCACCATCGTCATAATGCACATCATTGGCATAATCATCTACTGTACTATTAGAGCCAACAGAGCACACACTTAACATTCTACTGACTGTCCTGCTTAGATAAAGTACAGCTCTCCTAGACTAGATTACATTGATTGGCAAAGTGGAAAATAGGAGAAAACAATTCAGCATATTAAAAATTCGACTTTATTTTTAAAAGAAATTATGGATTTAATAAAAAAATTTAACCTAATTGAAACACTAACTAACCCTAGACAAACAAGTTAATGCAACAACAGACAAGAATAGGAGTAAAGGACCAGCAACCATTTTGAATCTTCATCTTCCAGTTTGTGAAGCCAGAGTGCAGCAGCTGGTTGTTGCAGAGCAGAGCAGGGTGGGGAGGCTAGCATGTGTCCATAAAGAGAAACCTGAGAGAGAAATTACTGTTATTTTATTTTCAAGCAGAACTGACAACAAATGCTCTCAGAAACAAATGGTTTTGACCGCTTGGAAATTTAGCACAGTGCCTTACTTCTCATAAAATGTTTGCTTTTCCCTTTGTGAATTTACCAACTTTACCCTTTTCATGTAAAAATTATCAAATACATGTGCAAGGTGGAAGGATGTCCTACCAAGTCAAGGCTGGCTCCTTGCACAATGCCTGTCTTCCTCTGTCCCTCTGGCCTGTTAACATCCTCTGTTTCACTGTCTTCTCATTTTCCTGCTTGTTTGTGCCTCCTTACTTTGTACAGTAGCTAGCTGGTTAGCACTAGCTTGATTTGCACTGTTTTAAATTAAGCTACTCGACCAGATGAGGGAAGTAAGCATAATTTATCTAGATTGGCGTGTCTTCCTACGTGGACTTGAATTACATTGATGTCAGATCTCTTTTAAGAAGATAAATCCAGCAAAATGCTGACAAAATACCCAAACACTTCCCCCCTGCACCTATACAACTATATGAGCCGGACCCAACAGTTGACACAATGTTTCTAAGTTAGCTAATGAGAGTGCAAGCTCAAGACAGACATGCAGAGTAGAGTGACGATTGAAAGACAACTTGAAGTTTCTAAAATCAATGTATTAAAAACGATTATGAAGGTCATTTTATTTTTTCCCGTGGTTGTTGTCCATAATTGTAGGGTACATGATTAAACAATTACCGTTCCAGCCCTAACATGTACAGTATTTATAAAAGTTGATATCCACGTTATTATAAATTGCTCCACTGCTCTATAAGTTCAATGGACCTGGCTTGTACCTACCTACCTGTTGGTGTGGAGCACTAAAGCTCTGTGTGTCCGTGCAGGACTTCGTCCAGGCTGGGTGGCTCCTGGCACACGGCGGGGGTGGTGAACTCCATAAGGTACTCACAGCGACTGGGCTCTGACGTGGACGTCACCACCGTCTCCTTCCCACACGTCAGCTTCACCTGACACACACAAAGGGACAACATTAACCCTTCACCGCTACATTCACAGGACAGTTTGTGGGTTAGCAGTACCTCTATAGAGTAGGGACCTGTACACTTACACAGCCTCAGTGTGCACAGATTGCATCAATTATCATGCACGTTCCCCCACCCAGTACTGCATGAAACATGCTTTGACTTAATCCGTTTCATATGCTCTCAGCAAATAAGACCGTCATAAAGGATGTAGCATTGGGCTGGGAGGGAAGTGAAGTTTAGATATTAGAGAGACTTACTGTGGTGGACCTGTTGGGGCCCTGCCAGCACCCCAGCCCATGGTCATACTTCATCACTGAGTATAAATTGTCTTCAGGACCAACCCATTGTCCCCACACGCTACAACGAGGACAGAGACAGAGAGGAGAATGACCACTAACATTCCTAACAGTTTTAGAAGGACCACAGTCATTTGAACAGTTAAAGGCTCCAGTAAAATGAAGTTAAGAGGAGGTTCTCTTACCCAAGGTTGGTCTCTGATCCCCCAAACTTAGGTTTCTGGGAGACCCTATTGAATGGACAAAGCCTGTAGATGTACCTGATTAAAAAGAAGAGGGGCACAGTCTTAGATCTAATCTTTGGTAGATTCAAACAGTTTCACATTCATATAAACACAGATTATTTCTCTCACAAAGGCATACAGACTACGGGTATTTACAAAGATAGATTAAGTATACGTACTCGCTAGTGGATAATTCATAGCACTGGCTGTACAGGTATGCAAATTCTGCACTGGGCCCAAAGTCAAAGCCAATCTCCTTCTCAAGGTTCCTGCAGATCCAAATAAAGAAACAGGGTACTTTCATTTGCGTTTTCAAACCTAATAATACAACCTGCACTTGTATACCTGTGTAGTGTTTGCATGTTGAGTATCATCATGATATGTTTTTGTGTGCAAGGACTAACATACAGTTGTTGCCAAAGCCAGCAGAGATTAAGCATTGTGGTTGCCTGGTTGCAAACTCACTTCATTTGATCGTCCACTTCCCGGAGGGCCCTCTCAGCTTCATCGAAATCATCCCTGGCTTTCTGGGCAGCTGAGGATCAAAGACAAAGAAAACACAACCTCAAAGGACAGACCAATGAGACATACAATTCCACAGCACAGAAAATCACAATTCAGACATTTACGCTTAATATCATCTGAACCCCCTGCTTCGTATATCCAGACAAACCCATTGTGTCCCTGTTTAAAAGGTAGTGCGGTACTAAGCCCAGATTGTAAGACAGATGAATGTATGCACCATCAATAAGGCTCTGGGTCTCAGCGTCGTATGGTGGCATGGACACCTCATCGTCCTCTCTTTTCTCTGGGGTCGGCACGGTGGGAGGGACCTAATCATCAAACACGCATTATGTTACTGGGACAACTGACCACCCAAGCCCTCCAATACTAGCCTAGCTCAGGTCCATCCAGGCCAACGTGAGGATTGCCAACTTTTCATGAACGAGGGAAGCCTACCTTCTCCTCTTCCTCCTCCTCCTCGTGATCACCATCTTCCTCGTCGTCCTCCACATCCTCCTCATCTCCAGCGTAATCCTCTGGGTAATGGTCAGAGTCGTGGTCAGAGACAAAGTCCCTGGTCTCCTCCTCCTGGGGGGTCTCCACTGGGGCAGGGGGATCCGACTGGCCCTGAGACACCCACACAGTCACATCATCAACCAATCAAATCACACAAACTTACACAGCCCTTTAAAGCACATTTTTCACAAAGTGCTTTACAGTAACCCAGCCTAGACACCCAATCTGAAGCTCCAGGACACAGACCATAGAACATTCTACCAGGATATGGAAATGACTGTGGAACATAAGAGTTAATGTGGTGCTGACCTCTGATAGGTACTTGTCTTTGATGCCACTCCACACACTTTCAAATGTTGACGTGTCCACTTTGTCTGCGCCTCCCAGCAATCCCTGTGGGAATGGATTAGGAAATCAGAAAAATTGCAAAACTTCCATCATGAAATAATATTTGTTTATCTTAATAAGACGTCTTACCAAGATAAATGATCTTACTGCACTGGCAGATCATGTGCTTATTTTAACCTACAAAAGGCTTGATAGTCAGAATATCAAAAAAGTCAAAAAAAAATGTTTTACCTTTATTTAACTAGGCAAGTCAGTTAAGAAAAAAATTCTTATTTACAATGACGGCCTACACCGGCCAAACCCGGACGACTCTGGGCCAATTGTGCGCCGCCCTATGGGACACCCAATCACGGCCGGTTGTGATACAGCCTGGAATCGAACCAGGGGGTCTGTAGTGACGCCTCAAGCACTGAGATGCAGTGCCTTAGACCGCTGCGCCACTCGGGAGCCCAAGACAAATTATCTTGATGCATTTTCTGGGTAACTCAAAACAAGTACAGTGGGGAAAAAAAGTATTTAGTCAGTCACCAATTGTGCAAGTTCTCCCACTTAAAAAGATGAGAGGCCTGTAATTTTCATCATAGGTACACGTCAACTATGACAGACAAATTGAGAAAATAAAATCACATTGTAGGATTTTTAATGAATTTATTTGCAAATTATGGTGGAAAATAAGTATTTGGTCACCTACAAACAAGCAAGATTTCTGGCTCTCACAGACCTGTAACTTCTTCTTTAAGAGGCTCCTCTGTCCTCCACTCGTTACCTGTATTAATGGCACCTGTTTGAACTTGTTATCAGTATAAAAGACACCTGTCCACAACCTCAAACAGTCACACTCCAAACTCCACTATGGCCAAGACCAAAGAGCTGTCAAAGGACACCAGAAACAAAATTGTAGACCTGCACCAGGCTGGGAAGACTGAATCTGCAATAGGAAAGCAGCTTGGTTTGAAGAAATCAACTGTGGGAGCAATTATTAGGAAATGGAAGACACACTGATAATCTCCCTCGATCTGGGGCTCCATGCAAGATCTCACCCCGTGGGGTCAAAATGATCACAAGAACGGTGAGCAAAAATCCCAGAACCACACGGGGGGACCTAGTGAATGACCTGCAGAGAGCTGGGACCAAAGTAACAAAGCCTACCATCAGTAACACACTACGCCGCCAGGGACTCAAATCCTGCAGTGCAAGACGTGTCCCCCTGCTTAAGCCAGTACATGTCCAGGCCCGTCTGAAGTTTGCTAGAGTGCATTTGGATGATCCAGAAGAGGATTGGGAGAATGTCATATGGTCAGATGAAACCAAAATAGAACTTTTTGGTCAAAACTCAACTCGTCGTGTTTGGAGGACAAAGAATGCTGAGTTGCATCCAAAGAACACCATACCTACTGTGAAGCATGGGGGTGGAAACATCATGCTTTGTGGCAGTTTTTCTGCAAAGGGACCAGGACGACTGATCCGTGTAAAGGAAAGAATGAATGGGGCCATGTATCGTGAGATTTTGAGTGAAAACCTCCTTCCATCAGCAAGGGCATTGAAGATGAAACGTGGCTGGGTCTTTCAGCACGACAATGATCCCAAACACACCGCCCGGGCAACGAAGGAGTGGCTTCGTAAGAAGCATTTCAAGGTCCTGGAGTGGCCTAGCCAGTCTCCAGATCTCAACCCCATAGAAAATCTTTGGAGGGAGTTGAAAGTCTGTGTTGCCCAGCGACAGCCCCACTGCTCTAGAGGAGATCTGCATGGAGGAATGGGCCAAAATACCAGCAACAGTGTGTGAAAACCTTGTGAAGACTTACAGAAAACGTTTGACCTGTGTCATTGCCAACAAAGGGTATATAACAAAGTATTGAGAAACTTTTGTTATTGACCAAATACTTATTTTCCACCATAATTTGCAAATAAATTCATTAAAAATCTTACAATGTGATTTTCTGGAGAAAAAAATTCTCATTGTGTCTGTCATAGTTGACGTGTACCTATGATGAAAATTACAGGCCTCTCTCATCTTTTTAAGTGGGAGAACTTGCACAATTGGTGGCTGACTAAATACTTTTTTCCCCCACTGTAAATGCAAATGCTTTGGGTAAGCGAGATCAAATAAAAACAAGTAATTTTGACTTAATATGTCAATACAAAAAAAAAAAAAAAAAAAAGGTTTATTGCAGTGTACTGCCCATTTTGAATATAGAAAAAGGTGTTGCTAAAAGCACTGCATTTGCAAATATAAAATAGTTGTATTTTGTCATGTGGGTAGTTGGGGTGATGCATTACATGACCTAGGCTAAGTAGTATAAAGATACGACTGCCCACTATAATTGACTAGTGTGATAGAAATGCATCACTTGACTTGAGGGGGAGGAAGATAACAGGCATCTTACCTGAGTCTCTGTTTCCGTCAGAGAGCCATCTGAATCTGGGTCCAGCTCTAGATGGGACTGCAGCTCAGCCACAGAAACACTGGGAATAACAAAAGCACCATATTAGCCACTCACTGAATCACACAGAAATATCTCTGAATATCTCCAACGCTGACAGTGACACACACACACACACTCACTAGCCGTCTGCGTCATCATCCAGCTCCAGAAAAGCCGCAGCCATTCTAGCTTTGTCCTTCTCCATACGGATGACTTCTTTTTGTTCTGAAACAGACAAATCAAATCAATCACATACAACTTAGAAAGAGAAATCTTCAACAGGTCTTTTGTAATTGATTTCCAAATCATTAAGTTAACTGCATCAAAAAAATCTGACTGGAGAGATGATTTGTAAAACGTCTATCCTCCTCCTCTCCAGCATAATCCTCTGGGTAATGATCAGGGGTGGCAGGTAGCTTAGTGGTTAAGAGCGTTGTGCCAGTAACCGAAAGGTCGCTGGTTCTAATCCCAGAGCCAACTAGGTGAAAAATCTGTCGATGTGCCCTTGAGCAAGGCACTTATCCAGAGCGACTTACAGGAGCAATTAGGGTTAAGAGCGTCTGCTAAATGACGTAAATGTAAAATGTTACAAAAAACCCATATGATTTGCCCTGGGCATTTAACAAAATCTGTTTTTTAACTATATGAATATACTTAAATATCTTGGTTTTACCGAACAGCACAAAAGCACCTTTTTTTGTGAAGAAAACAAATACATTGAGAGAATTGATGATGTGCATAGGTTAAAAGCAGAGAGATAATAGCTTCCAGTGTACTTACCCTCCCAAGCCTTCAGGTGGCGCTCTTTAGCCTCTTTCTCTGGATCCTCTGCCGTTTCTTTCACGGTCCTCAGAGCCTCCACCTTCTCCTCCAGACCCTTCTTACTTCCCTGCAGCTCAGTCAACTTGCCCTGCACAAACACATGGATGGAAGTAATTTACACAAAACTTTTGAAATAAAGTTTTGTCATTTGATGAACACGTTCTATGGCAAGGATTTATACCAATCCCTCTATATATGAAATGGTCTCTGTATAGGCCCCAGCCATTTCTGCTGCCTACTCAACCCCAAATACATCCACATGCATCTACTATCCTTTTTACACCGTTTGGTTGGTTAGTCTCTCTCACCTGTTTGTCCTCCTGTCCCCTTTTAGCTTCATGTATCAGCTGTTGTTTGAGCATAAAGCCTTCCTTTGTGATCTCAGCCATTATCTGCAGACTCTCCCTCTCCTTACGCCCCAACTCCCTAGGGGTTACACAGCCAACACAATCAGTCTTCACACACATACTGGGCACATACTGGAGGAATCGTTTGACAACACAAAGGCCAATGTTTGCACAATGCTGTTTTTTTACTACTGCTCACCTGCAGGTGTTTTGACAAGTGGCACCACTGTTGTACTCGTCTGTCGTGTCACAGCAGTCTGAGGAGAGAACACACTTCATCAGCACACAGCACTTACACACACAAAAAAGGTACAGAGAGAACGGGATGACTGATCCATGGAAAGATGCGGTGACGATGTTCTTACCACAGATGCCGTCGTTGATCCGGGAGGAAGGGATGAATGCGGGTCTGAAGCCAGCGTTGGTGCAGTGGAAGCTGCCGTTGGGGCAGGCAGCAGTACCTGAGGAAAAAATGCAAAGACATTCATTACAGTCAATACCTTATTGATAACTGTGCACAGTAGTGTGTAGTGTCTTGATAGTGGGTTCAGTCTGGCTTTACTGATGAGAAGTGAGTGATACTGTACCTGGTTCATCTGAGCCATCCTTGCAGTCGCAGTAGTCATCATTGACTCGATCAAAGGGGATGGTGCGGGAGCCATCCAGACAGGTAAAGGGCTTGTTCTCCTCATAGAACTGTCTCTCTGTCGGGATCGATGGGGACAGGTAAGGGTTGGGTACATACAGTTGAAGTCGGAAGTTTACATACACCTTAGCCAAATACATTAAAACTCAGTTTTTCACAATTCCTGACATTTAATCGTAGTCAAAATTCCCTGTCTTAGGTCAGTTAGGATCACCACTTTATTTTAAGAAAGTGAAATGTCAGAATAGTAGTAGAGAGAATAATTTATTTCAGCTTTTATTTATTTCATCACATTCCAAGTGGGTCAGAAGTTTACATGCACTCAATTAGTATTTGGTTGCATAGCCTTTAAATTGTTTAACTTGGGTCAAACGTTTCGGGTAGCCTTCCACAAGCTTCCCACAATAAGTTGGGTGAATTTTGGCCCATTCCTCCTGACAGAGCTGATGTAACTGAGTCAGGTTTGTAGGCATCCTTGCTCGCACACGCTTTTTCAGTTCTGCCCACACATTTTCTATAGGATTGAGGTCAGGGCTTTGTGACGGCCACTCCAATACCTTGACTTTGTTGTCCTTAAGCCATTTTGCTACAACTTTGGAAGTATGCTTGGGGTCATTGTCCATTTGGAAGACCCATTTGCGACCAAGCTTTAACTTCCTGACTGATGTCTTAAGATTTTGCTTCAATATATCCACATAATTTTCCTTCCTCATGATGCCATCTATTTTGTGAAGTGCACCAGTCCCTCCTGCAGCAAAGCACCCCCACAGCATGATGCTGCCACCCCCGTGCTTCACGGTTGGGATGGTGTTCTTCGGCTTGCAAGCAACCCCCTTTTTCCAAACATAACGATGGTCATTATGGCCAAACAGTTATATTTTTGTTTCATCAGACCAGAGGACATTTCTCCAAAAAGTACGATCTTTGTCCCCATGTGCAGTTGCAAACTGTAGTCTGGCTTTTATTATGGCAGTTTTGGAGCAGTGGCTTCTTCCTTGCTGAGCGGCCTTTCAGGTTATGTCGATATAGGACTCGTTCTACTGTGGATATTGATACTTTTGTACCCGTTTCCTCCAGCATCTTCACAAGGTCCTTTGCTGTTGTTCTGGGATTGATTTGCACTTTTCGCACCAAAGTACATTCATCTCTAGGAGACAAAATGCGTCTCCTTCCTGAGCGGTATGGCAGCTGCGTGGTCCCATGGTGTTTATACTTGCGTACTATTGTTTGTACAGATGAACGTGGTACCTTCAGGCGTTTGGAAATTGCTCCCAAGGATGAACCAGACTTGTGGAGGTCTACAATTCTTTTTCCCATGATGTCAAGCAAAGAGGCACTGCGTTTGAAGGTAGGCCTTGAAATACATCCACAGGTACACTTCCAATTGACTCAAATGATGTCAATTAGCCTATCAGAAGCTTCTAAAGTCATGACATCATTTTCTGGAATTTTCCAAGCTGTTTAAAGGCACAGTCAACTTAGTGTATGTACATTTCTGACCCACTGGAATTGTGATACAGTGAATTATAAGTGAAATAATCTGTCTAAACAATTGTTGGAAAAATTACTTGTGTCATGCACAAAGTAGATGTCCTAACCGACTTGACAAAACTATAGTTTGTTAACAAGAAATTTGTGGAGTGGTTGAAAAACGAGTTTTAATGACTCCAACCTAAATGTATGTAAACGTCCGACTTCAACTGTAAGAGCTCATCTGAGAGACAATGCACACCTACCAGGATAAAAACCATGCTCACAATGGGATTCTGACAGCTAAAATAGCATAGACTGCCATAGACTAGGCCTACGTCACTGGCTGTGATGAGAACCATAACGTTATTTGTCTGAGTTCGGGTCAGAATTAGATGTCAACTCACTTGATAGTGGTACTCCGCGTGGACGCTGAATCTCCACAGCTGCGCCAGTGCGCATCGGCAATGCCAAGCTCATCAACAACAGTAGGTGCGCACAAGACATGATGCAGTATCAACGGGGACCAGCTACACTTTCAGGAATTCGCGGCGCTCCTGCAAACACAACTCAAGGCATTAGACAATGTACTTGAACCCAATGCAGCTAGTCCTCACGCACCACCATTCACAACATTGAGACAGTCGGCCCCATATTAAACCTCTGATGCAATGCGTTAGAACGGCTTTTTCAAAATTGGACGAATTAGGCATGCTTTCTAACATTTAGTCATAATTCAATACATGTAACGCTAGGTAACTAACGTTGCTAGCTGATGAAGGACTAAAGTAGTAGCAGCTAGCTATCACCGGTCTTGATTTAACGCGGGAAAACTTCCTTATGAACAATATTTATGAATGTTGTATATACAATAAAGTATCAGGTTCACAATAAATAAAATTAAAAGTGTTTAAAAACACTTCCACAAATCGTTATTTTGGAAGTAGAAACATGGCTAATCATTCATTACCTCTCTTCTGCAATGCTTCAGGAAACGTCTCCTGTGCTCGTGCACTGTGGTGTTTTCCTCTGATTGGACTACCTCTCGTATCCGACCTGTGATTGGAGACGAATTGTGCCGTGGTGCATGCTGGGTAATACGTTGGGAGCAGCCATGTCAGAGAGGGTGGAGAACCTCTTTTGGCCATGTTATGTGGATTTGAAATTGCAGACGTGTGTCTGTCAAAATACTTCACAATTATAAGAGAGGTAGCCTGAAACTGCCAGGCTGAAATGAGTCCATCAATTCCTTCAATGGGGCTTATCATATGTGTTGAAAATCCTCATGGTGTGCAATGGTAGTCTCTGTAACCCATTTTTACTAATCGTTTAGATAGTCTTTGATAAACATGTAGGCCTATTTATACATCTATTCTCAATAAAGAAAAATATGGTGTGGAAGCATAGTATTCACATTCACTGTAGAGGCCACAATAAACCAGACTATTGAAGACCTTGACCTTTTAGTCTACTCCTTTTTTATAATCTCTGATACCATTATTAAGCACACACAGTAGCCTACACAGACAACAAATAAAAGCCAGTAGGCTTTTTCTCTTTGCTTATATTATAAAAAATCTTCCTTTATTTGTAATTTTAACACACTTTACAGTACCGAACAGTGAAATAAAATAAAAAATATACTGATATATAATTGTATTATATAGCTGTTTGCTTATTAAATGCATTTTATTCACAAAATGACACCTCAGTTCTCTCAGAGGAAAACCTTTCATAAAAATAATATAATAAAAAATAACTTGGGCACATTTTACACGTTACAGCAATATAATTTACAAATATTACAATCATTTCATGGTGTTTTTTCCATTTATATAATTTTCCTAACTTGTGAACAAGTAACACATGAATTAAAGCCCAGATAATTGTTCTCAGAGGGAGTCTAATATGATGAAAGTGACCAAGAAGTGGCGGTGGAGCTCATTTCAAAATGGCTTCGCAATGTCTCTCTCAGAACCCTCTTGTGTTTTACCTCTCGCTCCACCCATACACATCTGTCAATTACTCACAGTCACTCCTACATGGCATATTGATAATGAATAGTTTTCATTGATTATGATTTGGGCAATATGGAATGGGCAAACATGGAATAGCACAATATAAAATAAAATAAAAGGCTTGAAACCAGGTCCAATGGAACCAGTGAGTGACAGATAAATACCAACTCCTCCAACAAACACATACCCACACACTACTTTAACCACATTGTCTACCCTACAACCTCCCTAAATTAAAGTTCTGGTACAAAATATTTTCATTTTTCTGATGATGAATCTAATCCTGATTCAAACAATCCATCTAATTCATCTAATCCTTTGTATACAATTTGAATTTACACAATTCAGCGTGTGAAAAAAATGACAGAGGAAAGATAAGGACAGAGAAAGAGAAGGAAAGAGTGATGGTGTGGCCTGAAGTGCTTTAGTGATTTAGTTATTTTCTTATAACTAAACGTCGTTAATTAAATTAAATGAGAATGACCTGAATCAATTTCTAATTTACAATCCAACATTACAAGATATACAAAACAAGCTGTGATAACGCTAATAGTTATATTATCAATATGTCATTATAGTTCAGTTTCTAGACCATCCACCAGAATGATACAAAAATAAAAACTGTACACAAACTGTTCAAAGAAAACACGTGTGGTATTTCCCATGGTTTTCTTTTCATTATTGAAAAAGAATGGCAGCAATTAATCAACGGAATAATTTATTAATAAGAAATGATTGCTACAGTATTGTGTTAAAATGGTAATTAAACATCTATTTGTTTTTATAGCTCATGACAAAACAAAAAGCCAGAAAAACAAAGCCGTATATATCTTCAAAGACAGGGGGAAGCATCATGGGAATTCCCATTTCAACAATTAAAGGCCTGTGCGGTGACACCGCAATGCTGCAATCACAGAGCTGGACTGGACGGATCTCAGGCCTCTGTTCCTTCAGGCACAGGCTGTTCTTTAGATGAGCTATGTTACTGACCAGCAGAAACCATCTATACTCATGCTGTTGTTTTTTACCCTGTGAACAACTCCAAGTCAAACTGAGACCTATTCAAGCTGTGCTGATCAATCCTGTGACCATAACCTCATACAGCCAGGATGGTGATTCTAGTGAGTGAGTGATGACACACAGCACATGACAAGAGAAAGGTCTCTCTCTCTCTCGCTCTCTCTCTCCTCTCTCTCTCAACATAACATCCGTCATTTCCTCAACCAGCCCAAGACAGACGTTATTTTCAACCAGAAAAAGTATTGTGAGAAAATATAGTTACTCTACATCTGGTCTGCAACATCTATATGTATACCGCTCATTTGACCTGCATTCCCTGGAGCTAAATTGGCCTATTTATTGCGCCCTCATAACTAACACAACACATTCTTAATATTGGCCATAAAATGTTCCTGTCCATCTGCAGATGCTGGGTACATTGTGTATAGACACACAGACACTCACAGATAGGGGCAAACAGACATGGTATAAATATACTAGGATATTTAGAATATATCTTATAAATCTACATAGTGGCAGGTATGTATCCTGCATTTGACATTAAGGCAAAAAAGCTTAAAACGTAACAAGAATGGCTGTGTGTGACTTCCTGAACATCCTCCTTTTTGGCCAAGATCGTTCTTTCGATTCCCTCCAATCCTGAAATCACCCTGACAAAAATCACCCTGACAAAAATCACCCTGACAAAAATCACCCTGACAAAATCCTCTCAAAGCACCTCTCCCCTCATCAGTTTCCAATTTCTTGCTTTGGTGAAAACTGGTGAATAAATACAGTGTGAGTGGGTAAGAGATGTAATGTGAATATGTGCTGCTGATGATATTATCATAATCCTTCAAACATATTTAGCAAAAAGTGTAATAAATAGAAAACAGGCAGAACATATACTCCAAAGTATCACATGGCTTATCCTCAGAACGTAAAAAATATAAATAATTTTCATATGTAAAAACTGGAGAGTCCACAAGCAGCAATAGTGGCGGTGTAGTGGTAGTGACTGCTCCTTATCTACGAGTTCTGTAACGTCTCATCACCTTGAAAAGCAACAAAGGAAGACTTACAGCTGAAAATATGTCACCACGGAAACAGACTGAGCGTGTGACACACACACACACATAATAATATTATTAAATCATGAACAGTTACAATAGATCTTTGAACAAGAGACAATCAAAAATGAAGACAAAAGCAGACACTCCTGTCCCACGATGCATTGCTTCACGACAGCTCCATGTTTCAGGAGCTGGTGTATCCAGAAAGGCACACAGCCATCTTGCACCGGTAGCACTTCTTCATAAAGGGAAAATGGGGGCGGGACCCTCAGGTCCCCTCATCACAGCATCTTCCTTTCTTTATTAAAGGTAATCCTCTCTTCTTTTCTCACTCCATTCCTCCTCTATAGATAGATGTCTGTAGTTTTCTTTCCGACAGAAATGGAAAATAAGTCACTCAGAAAAAAACAGAGTTCTTGTTGAATTCTAACAAACATGAATTAGTAATACTGACTGACGCTAGTTAATACTCCATATAGAGATGGCTTTTTCCAAAGAGATTCGTTTACCAATCAGAGTCCCCTAAACACACACGCACACACAGGCATGCGCAAACACACAAACACACACATTCTCGTGTGTAGACTTGAGAGTTTTTTTCATTAATCAAAGTGTGTGAGTGAGGTGTGTTTGTGTGTGCATTCATGTATTTTTGTGTGTGTGTGTGAGTTTGTGTGTGGAGGTGAGTTTGTGCGTGTTTATGTGTGTGTGTGTTTCAGTTCCGGTGCTACACTGTCTTCAATGGCCCATTATTAATGCTTCTCTATGTTCCCCTTTCTCCTCATAGCAGTTCCTCATAGCCCAGCTCCCACTCCAAATCTACAGTTGCTGTGTAAATAGCTTTTCTTTAAGCAATATTATTTGTGTTCCCTTTTTGAAAAATAGATTTAAAGGTCTATTGTTTATGTAGTCTTATTTGATCTTGGTTTTTGGCCATCGGAAATAAAGGATGGACAAGAGGGGCGTGGTGTGTGCATGTGGGGTGTGGCCAGGGAGAGAGGAGCGGAACTCATGTGTCATCAGCTGGCGAGGATGAGTCTTCCTCCTCCTCGTCCTCCACAAGGCTTGTGTCAGAGTGTCTCTCCACCCCTAACTGAGCTTGCTGAAGAACTCCCCTCTTCTCCTCCTCCACCTCCTCCTCCATCACTGCTTCCCCTTCCTCCTCGATGATGTCTCCTTCTCTTTCCTCCTTTACCCCGTCCTCTCCTTCCTCCTCTTTTCTCTTGTCTTCCTCCTCTCCCTGACTGCTGTCCAGCACCATGTGATTGGGGGTGGTTTTCCCCCTCCTCCTCCCTCCTCTTCCTCCTCCTGTCCTCCCTCCGTGTCATCGTCTAAGGTGAGCTTGAACTGGAACTTGTCGATGCAGGCGTTGAGCCTCTTGTCTGGGCCGAGGGGGATTGGGGGTGGGGAGATGGGGCTCTGGGGGATGGTGCTCTGGTACCAGTCCCTGTTGTCCTCCAGAGTGTCCAGGATGTCCTGGGCGTCAGGGTGCACCAAGTCCCCCCACGTCTCCCACAGAGGGTGCACGATGTAGTCGATGAAGCCCACCTACAGCACACAACACCAGGAGAATCAAACACACTGACAAACGAACATCACACTAATAACAAGCACATTACGGGGCTAAGGAATTTGTGTAAGCAACATGAGATTACCTTTATAAACATAAATAATCATTAAAAAAGCATTTATTGGCATTTAGCTTTTATAATTGCTTTAAAAGTGATGCCAAAATGTGTGTTGTGTGTGTGTTTCCTAACCTGACTCTTCTCCACAGAAGCAGTGTGTTTGTCACACATGGGGCTGATCTCCATGCCTCTCTCCCTCTCCTTGTCTCCCTGTCTAAAGAACTCCTCCATGATGCGTTCAGTCCACTCTCTGTACACGGCCAGGGGCTTGGTGGGGTTACTTAGGTCCGCACAGTGCACCATGTTCCTCAGCACCTGCAGACACACACATAAGGTCAGGGTTCACCAGTGCACAGTAGGCGTTGTGCATTTTCTCCAGCTCCAATTTGAGTTTGGAGTACCATTTTTTCTGCAGGGTGAATGTTTAGAGGTCAGAGGTGAAAGCTCACCTGGATGCGGTCAGTGTAGTGGTCGAGCAGGAGCACTCCTGAACTGGTCACCTTCTTCGTCTCCACCATGGTCTTCAGATCAGCCAGCAAACTCATGTGCTTAGACATATCTGTCGCCAACACCTTGAGAGGTCAATTAAAGGAGGAGGTCAAACAAAAACATAAAAAACATCAGAAAATAACATTTAAATAACTCGTATAAGCCCCGCCCCTTATTGAGGCAGCAGAGCAGCCCCTTATTGGGTGAGTGTGAGTGGCAGGAGCCTCACCATATCGATAACGAGCTTGCGCAAGCTCTGTCTCTGCCTCTTGCTGAGGTTCTGGAAGATGTCACAGTTGTCCTCGTGGAGCAGCTTGAAGCCCACAGCCAGGTGGTGGTTCTCCAGAACTGACTCATCATTGTACATCAGAGCCAACTCCGAGTCTGGGGAGAGAGGACAGACAGAACACACCGGGTCAGTACAGAACAAACACTGGGTCAGAGCACCTGTAGACACACCCCACTAGCACCCTTTTCACATTATTGTTCCGACCAAACCATACAGTGTTGACTCTGACATTTTCTTTTTACGTTATTAGCTGTGCTACACTGACTAGTAGGCTAAGCTCAACTGAGATGTGGTTTAAGGAGCTTTATTTAGTTATAATGCACTGTACTGTACAGTATCCTGGCTCCTCCTGTGCTCCTATCTCCATTGTAAGGACTCACTGGTGTTGATGAGGAACTGGTTGGACACGCCAGGATGATCCACATCATGGATGGCAGCAGCAAATAACGCAGCTAGGATCTCCAGATCAGTGAACACAGCCTGACAGAGAGCGAGATAGAACACAGTGTAACCAATCACATTTTAGAACACCCTACAGGACATGAATGTGCGATGGAGTTAGAGTGCAGCTGTGTGCTTCAAGTTAGTTGTTGTTAGATGTAGGCTCAGTGTGTGGTGAAATGTGGTTCTTACGTCCAGAGCCGGTGTGGACAGCAGGACGTGGGTGGACTGTGTGACGTCAGCAGCATGGAGGCTGTTGTGGTAGGCCACGTTGGCATGGTAGTGGTCTTCCAGGGTCATCACATAGGTCACAAACGTGTCGACAGGGATTTGAAACGTCTTCAACAGATCCCTCTCCTACAGGGAAGGAACACACTGTGTCACACAAACACTCAGGATCCTATACACGTATATGAACAGCAAAGTCTATATTAAGTCTATATGACCACTCTTCCTGAAAATCGAATGGATAAAACCACTACTTTTCACCAACCTGGAAGATGGCGAACATGATGCAGCTGAGAGGCCTATTATTGGAGAACTCAGCCAGACGAAAGATATTAAGGCCCCACTTATTCAAGTCATCCAGCTCCTGGTCAACAGACAACATCAGAATCAGAAACAGAATCACCTTTATTTGCCAAGTACATTTACACATACTGTACCCGGAATTTGACTTGACATATGTCTCCATTGAATCCCTCCTGAGACCCATCAATTCATTTTTGTCCACTCTAATGGAGATAGTTTTTTGGGCCGTATCTCTGAGGCCATACATGCCACTGTGTTAAATCCTGTTGTACCTTTGAGAGGACATTCTGGGGTTTTCAGTGATATGTAACTTTCTCATCCTGTTTTTTTTAAATGGCTGCCATCTCAATTTAGCACATTTTATGGAAAGAAGAAGGTGAATGTACAGTATGCAAATGTGTTATCATAAGTAAATATCTGTGGAATAGTTTGGTGAGTTTTCACAGCAGTGTAATATATATTTTTCACATTAAATAAGAGCTAAATAAATATCCTGTGCTTTTGACCTACTGTACACATTTACTGTAATGTAAAATTGTACATATATAATATCAACCGGATCCTAATGTCCACTACAGTGGACATACAATAAAAAGAAAAAGAAAAACATTGTAACATTTATTTCAGTTCAAATACTTATGTGATGTAAAAAAATAAAGTTATAATTCAAAAAGCATTTTTTCACTGGTTCTCAGGAGGAGATGTCATTTTAAATAATCTTCAAAGTGAGTGAATGTTCATGTGTGAGTGTGTGTAAGGTTTCACAGATCCCAGATCCAGTACAGATATACCGTACCCTGGCCAGTGCGTCCTCCTGTTCAGTCTTGACTCCGAAGCGTGGCATGGTGGTGTTGATGGACAGGCTGGAGCTGTGTGTCAGCTTCTTCACTCCACTGATGTGACACATGGGCTTGTCCCGCTCCCGCTCCCGCAGGGTCGGAGACGGGATCTCTACCTCATTCTGCTTATCTGGAGGAGACATGGAGGTCAGAGGTTAACTATAATGCTTTCTAATGCTTGTTATAAGCATGCATGAGCTTTTATAACTTATTATTATAAGGCCTATAGTGTGCTATATCTCTGCAGTATGCATCATTACAGGGCTCACTTGTAAAAGAGACCCGGATCTAAATGACTCCCTGCACACTGTAAACCCGAAGGCATTTTTTACTCAAATACTTCTAGTAAGTTTAACTCAAAGTCAATAAAAAAGTAATTATTACTTAAAATGCTTATGTGGTACTGACTCAAAACGAAATGAGAAGTCACATCAACTTAATTTTTTTAAGTTATGATAACAAATTAACCTTTTTTCCCAGCATGCTCTACTGTAGGTTGATTTTTGGGGAATTGTATTTAATATCTGTGCTTTTGTATGTACATTGAGTGATTGATTGATTAATCCTATGTTACACACAGATAAATAACATACATTTTTCTAAACTAATCCAATCATTTAGTCAGATTTTTTGCATCCGTTACTGAAATAGTTGTTCCCAGTTTAAATGGCTTAGGTAGTCTTCTCACAATGTTCCTAACCCTGGCAGTCATTATGAATGCAGGTTGCGAGTGAATACACATTTCTAATGTTGGATAGCCTAACTCTGGCTGGATTCCAATAGGAATTGCACATCACTTTGCAAGCCAGCATAATCTGACTTGCAGGTAGGGTTGCAAAATTCTGGTACATTTCCCAGGTTTTCCAGAAATCCCGGTTAGAAGATTCCTGGAAATCCTTCAACCAGGAATTTTTGAAAATCTGGGAATTTTGGGAAAGTGGCCTGATGTGGCCTGTAAACCATGAGTTTCAGGCCACTGTGTTAGAGTAAAGCTAGGCCTCACAATAAGGCCTTATGAAATATGTAATGTTTAATTATAATGATAACATTCGCCTAGGAATTCACTTGGTGAAGGACACAGGACTGAAAATGAACAAATTCAACAACCATGTTTCTGTCACTAACAAATACAGTCATGGGTGGTGACTCTACAATTTTCTCAAAAAGGCAAGGAACACTGGGAAATTATATTGGAGGCGTGGCTTTACTCTGATACAACTCAAATCAGGACCCCCTACAAGGTCACAGTGACTATCGGTTTGATTAATAACTACAAAATCACTTTAAGTAACTTTATTCAGATATATTAAGTGCAACGTGTTTCCTCAAAAGTGTTGAGTAATGACAGCACATTACATTTTAGATTTTAGCAGATGCTCTTATCCAGAGCGACTTACAGTTAGTGAGTGTATACATTTTTCATACTGGCCCCCCGTGGGAAACGAACCCACAACCCTGGCATTGCAAGCGCCATGCTCTACCAACTGAGCTACATTGGGGTTAACAGTGTGGATCAGTGTTAAGTAAAATATAACCCTATTTTTAAATGACACCCCATATAGTACACTAATTTTGACCAGAGCGATATACATAGGGCTCTGTTCAGTTTTATAGAGGATAGAGGACTGAGGTATATAAGGGATAGAAGACAGACAGAGACCCAGTCAGGAGTGCAGTTGAAAGGTGAGGTGTGTGACTTACCCAGGAAGGTAGTGGAGATGTATTCAGACACCTGGTTCCCTGAACGACTCATCTCTGACAGGTGAGATAGCTCCCGGTTCAACATCCTCTTAAACTGGGGGAGGAAACGGAGAGAGAGATGGAGAGAGGGATGGAGACAAGGAGAGAGATGGAGAGAGGTAGAGCATGATATTAATACAGAGGACAGGAGAAAACAGAAGTTAGAGGTATTACTTGAATAGTGTCCCTTAAATAATGTTAAAACTGGAAAGTCTTGGACACAAAGCTACACTTGGCCTCAGAGTAGTACTGCTGAAAAACCACAAATATCTAGAGAAAGCTGCAACATATATATATATATTTTTTAATAAATATATATATCTATATAAAAAATAACAAACAAGCAACCTCTGCATGATCCAAAGTCAAAATGAGACCCCACTCTCTTTATATGTGTACAGTAGGCCCATGTTCGCGCTGGATTTCATACCACGCTAAAAACAGCACATCATAGTCCATCAGAAAGGAAATGTGTACAAATCCCTTTTTAGCTAAATACATACAAATATATTTATAACTAACCCAAGATAGTTCATCTGTGTCATTTTCAATGGGCGCAAATTAAGCATAGTGGGCAGAACAAGCAAGTAGGTTGGCAGAGCCAAGCACGAGCTAGCGAGATCCTATTGGCACGTTCTAGCATGTGCGTGTGCAATAACTAAATTCGCCCTTGCACTCCTTGTAAACAACGTCATTTTTTGAAACTTTGGCAAAGGATCACGTCTACAAAACTTAGTGCACTCTGTTTGTAACAGATTGTAGTTTTGGGAACAGAAAACTGTATTGAGATCAGGCTTTGATGAGATTGGGCTTCGATGAGAAAATCTGCAGAATATCGGCCCAGTTCCAACTCGCTCCATACTCTCCCATACTGCCGGCCACTGGGCTTCCTCTCCTCACCATATTTGGTGGGGAGTGGAAATTCCAACCGGAGGCTTCAAATGTATACATCTGGTGAAACATCTGGCTCTATCTGTGGTTAGAGCATTGGGACAGTAACCAGAAGGTCGCTAGTTTGTATCCCTGAGCTGACAAGATGAACATTCGGTCGATGTGCCCTTGAGCAAAGCACTTAACCCTAATTGCTCCCTGGGTGTCTCAGGGGGAGTTGGGATATGCAAAAAATACATTTCCAATTCACACATGCGTATTAAAGTTTTTTTTCAATCACTTTGGCACATTGTTTCAGACCCCTTGACTTTTTCCACATTTTGTTACGTTACAGCCTTATTCTGAAAATTGATTAAATAGTTTTTTCCCCCTCATCAATCCACACACAATCCCCCATAATGACAAAGCAGAAACAGGTGTTTTGATTTTTTTGCAAATGTATTACAAATAACAGAAATATTACATTTACATAAGTATTCAGACCCTTTACTCAGTACTTTGTTGAAGCACCTTTGGCAGCGGTTAAAGCCTCAAGTCTTCTTGGGTATGATGCTACAAGCTTGGCACACCTGTATTTGGGGAGTTTCAACCATTCTTCTCTGCAGATCCTCTCAAGCTCTGTCAGGTTGGATGGGGAGCGTCTCTGCACAGCTATTTTCAGGTCTCTCCAGAGATGATAGATCGGGTTCAAGTCCGGGCTCTGGCTGGGCCACTCAAGGACATTCAGAGACTTGTCCTAAAGCCACTCCTGTGTTGTCTTGGCTGTGTGCGTAGGGTTGTTGTCCTGTTCGGTCTGAATATTTATGTAAACAAGGTATTTCAGTTTTTTATTTGTAATTTTTTTTTTTTTATGTCTAAAAACCTGTTTTTGCTTTGTCATTTTTTATTTAATCCATTTAGAATAAGGCTGTAACGCAACAAAATGTGGAAAAGGTCAAGGGGTCTGAATATTTTCCGAAGGCACTCTAAGTAATTTATTTTCAAAACTCTAAATACAAAACTCTAAACTGTTAAGACTTGTAATGCCCCCTATCGTATGTTCAGAACCTTTGATTGTGCATTTATTGGAGTTTAACACATCTTTCACCCTTGAGTCATTCATGCAAAATCAGTTTTCTGTGAAATACTATGAGAACATTTTGTTTAGTCATCAATACATCAGGCTCACCATTTAGTCATTTTAACTAGCATTTAATCCAATAGCAAAAAATACATGATACACATTTAAAAACGGTTCTTTTTGAAGTGTTGAATAGAAAGAATAGTAGATGGTAAATATAATTTTCCATAATTGTATTGTTAACAAATGACAAGAAAATCCTATCAAAAGTAAAGTGAATATTGCATTTTGAAAAGCAGATACTTCGATTGAATATGCTTCCAAATTGAAGGAGTGATTTGGTGCAGTGAACAAGTGACTGTTAATTTGTTTGTTGTACTACTCAGTCAATTGAAAATGTGCTTAGGGTTTTGAAACATGAGCCATTTTGTTGATCTGTTTAGATATGTGTGCTTAGAGTTGTGAAAATGTACCACATACTTGTGAAAATTGCACCAACGTGATTGACAAAAACTGTAATATGTACTTGTGTATGTGAGAAATATAACAGATTATTATTATTATTATTACTATTAACCACTATACCTCATTCAGGATACAGGTCATACCAGTAAACAAAGACGAATATTGTACATTGGCTCTAACCTCAATCAAAAATGTCAACATTGTAGCGAAATATTCATTGGGGGCTGATGTATACTGATGTATCATACATCTACTGTATAATAGTGAAATTGAATTAATAAAGAACACATGCGTTTACTCTACAACATTCATACAGTACGGTATGACCTTGTCAACAGGCAACCACTGCAGGAGCCTGACAAAGCAACAGCATGTTGGAGCATTGGTGGAAGGGCTGCCCTTTTCTACATCATGTTCTGTGTCTTTTGGTGATGATTTCACACCCTGCCTGTACAATGGAGCGTGTCTGCTGGAATAATAATAATATGCCATTTAGCAGATGCTTTTATCCAAAGCGACTTACAGTCATGCGTGCATACATTTTTGTGTATGGTTGGTCCCGGGGATCAAACCCACTACCCTGCCGTTACAAGCGCTGTGCTCTACCAGCTGAGCTACAGAGGACCACAGGAATGTAGGTGAGAAAAAGACACTGAACGCATGAATAGGATAAATATGTTCCATATGGCTAAATAGAAAATGTAATGTTGCATAGACTTCATGTCGTGAAACCTTTCCCCAAACATGAGGGAAAATGGAGGGAATGTTTGTTACAAAAAAAGGCAGTCCCCTGCAGGGGCCAGGCGACCGGGCAAGTCCCCCCACGTTCCTTGGCTTCACATCCTCCCATCACCAAAGGGGCCCTAAACCCCCTTAATTCCCCCCCCAGAAAAAAGGGGGGGGCGGCGGGGGGGAAACCAAGGGGGGGGGGGGCCCTTCCCTTTTTTCGGTTTAAAAAACCCTTTTTTCCCCCTTTTTCCCTTTTCCCCTCCTCCCCCTCTTTTTTTTTCCCCCCCCCCCCCCCCCCCCCCCCCCCCCCCCCTTCCCCCCCCCCCCCCCCCCCCCCCCGGGGGGGCCCCCGGGGGGCCCCCCTTTTTTTTTTTTTTTTCCCCCCCCCCCCCCCCGGGGGCCCCCCCCCCCCCCCCCCCCCGGGGGGGGGGCCCCCCCCCCCCCCCCCCCCCCCCTTTTGCCCCCCCCCCCCCCCCCCCCCCCCTTTTCCCCCCCTTTTTTCCCCCTTTCCCCCCCCCCCCTTTCCCCCTTTTCTCCTCCTTTTTTCTCTTCCCCGCTTTTCCCCCCCCCCTTCCCCTTTTCCCTTTCTTCTCCCTCCCCTCTCCCCCTTTTCCCCCCCCCCCCCCCTTTTAATTTCCCTCTTACAAACCCTTCCTCCTTCATTTTTAATGCTTCTTTCCTCCCTTATTCCAGTCCAACCAGGTTTGTAAACCCCAGTTCGGCCCTTTGTTAGAACGTCGGGTTCCTTTCCCCCCGTCAAAAAGCCACTAGGGACCGACCGACCGACCGACCGACCGACCACAACCGACAGACAAACACAACAAACAACACAGCAACAAACAACAGAAAAAACCAACAGACAACAACAAAACAACAACAACAACAACAAAGCAACAACGGGGAAACAAAAACAGAAAACCCACAACAAACAACAGATAATAATAGATAGATAGATAGATAGTGATAGAAGATAGTAGAAGATGAAGATAATATATAGTTGTGATCATGCACCAGGTAGGTACTGTAGACTAGTCAGCCAGTCAAGCCCAGTGACACAGTTATACTGCAGGCTCCATCTCTTTCCATCTCTCTCTCCATCTTTCTCTCCATCTCTCTACTATATTGAGTCATAATCTGCCAACCAACACAACCCCAGTGCCAGGACACACAGACAGACGCCACACCACGCTACCGTGCTTCCTCATATGGCCCCCTGACTGATGGAACACAAGATGCCGGGGTGAAGCTGTGAGAGACGCAAAGGGGCATCATCAACCCTCTGATAACTGACTAACATATGGACACACAGGGAAATGGGACGTATTGTAACAGGCAGGCTCTTCCTGCTTTTCACATGACAATAGCAGTTTACAGTAATGCTCTTCGATGATAACATGGTGACTCAGCTCTCACAACCTACCAACCATTCAATTTCACTTTGTTTATCAAAGTACTGTATATTCACATTTTTTTTTGTTGCTAATGGTAATGGTAAGGCTGTTGTTGGACTCTATCTTGTATCAAAACAATAGTTGTCATATTGTAGCAGATTGCAAAAAACACAGTTTGCAGAGAGAGATGGGGGAGTGGATACAGCTAGCACATTTGGTTCCTTGGAAGATGTGGGAGCGTAATTGTTTTGTTTCCCATTGGTTCTGGGAACGAAGCCATAAGTTTCCTGACCGGTAAAACGGAACGTTTTTTTTTTTTCTTTCTGAGAACGGAAGTGAAAATGTTGCCTGTTCTGGGAATGTACATTTTTAGGTTGCAAGGAGGTTCTGAGAAGGTTTTACTATGGTTCCCTGAAATATTTTCTGGGAGGTTTTATTAATCTTCTGAGAACAGAAATTATAGGTTATTTGAAGGTAATTAAATAACGTTCTGAGAACATGTTTCAATAAGACTTTTAATAACACTGCTAGATTAGTTTGGGTTAACTGTTTTAACTGTTTTGAAACACAGATATGACACATGGAAATTAATTGCCTAGGCATTAATCATGCAAACACAATTATTTTTTATTGTGGCACGGTGTCACTGAGATTCTAACCTATGATCTTACGCTACATATACAAAAGTATGTGGACATCCCTTCAAATTAGTGGATTCGGCTATTTCAGCCACACCCGTTGCTGACAGGTGTATAAAATCGAGCACACAGCCATGCAATCTCCATAGACAAACATTGGCAGTAGAATGGCCTTACTGAAGAGCTCAGTGACTTTCAACGTGACACCAGAGCTGCCCCGGTCAACAATAATTGCTGTTATTGTGAAGTGGAAACGTCTAGGAGCAACAACGGCTCAGCCGCGAAGTGGTAGGCCACACAAGGTCACAGAACGGGACCGGCGAGTGCTGCAGCACGTAGCGCGTAAATATCATTGGACTCTGGAGCAGTGGAAACACGTTCTCTGGAGTGATTGATCACGCTTCACCATCTGGCAGTCCGACGGACGAATCTGGGTTTGGCAGATGCCAGGAGAACGTTATTTGCACGAATGCATAGCACCAACTGTAACGTTTGGTGGAGGAGGAATAATGGTCTGGGGCTGTTTTTCATGGTTGGGGCTAGGCCCTTTAGTTCCAGTGAATGAAGGGAAATCTTAACGCTACAGCATACAATGACATTCTAGACGATTCTGTGCTTCAAACTTTGTGGCAACAGTTTGGGGAAGGCCCTTTCCTGTTTCAGTATGACAATGCCCCCGTGCACAAAGCGAGGTCCATACAGAAATGGTTTGTCGAGATCGGTGTGGAAGAACTTGACTGGCCTGTACAAAGCCCTGACCTCAACCCAATCGAACACCTTTGGGATTAATCGGAACGTCGACTGCGAGCCAGGCCTGCCCGACCTCACTAATGCTCTTGTGGCTGAATGGAAGCAAGTCCCCGCAGCAATGTTCCAACATCTAGTGGAAAACCTTCCCAGAAGAGTGGAGGTTATTATAGCAGCAAAGAGGGGACAAACTCCATATTAATGCCCATGATTTTGGAATGAGATGTTCGACGAGCAGGTGTCCACATACTTTTGGTCATGTAGTGTATGTTCTCTATCCATGGAATTAGTCCACTGCACCACCAGGATGGAGCTAGCATTCCATGTTTCTTTTTACTCATACAAAGCTGTCTATTTTAGTCTATTCAAACAGACCCCATTTCAAAGCGACCCCAGAAACAAGCACTCATTAGGATCAGGTGTGGCCAATTACTGGGCACGGCCAACACACCTGAACACACTTAACAAGAAAGAGGATAGAGAAAGTTTTGTTGATGCTGAGAACGGAATGTATATATTTTAAAAGAACATTCTTAGAACATTCGTTACTAATGTTTTCTTGTGTTTTTTATGGAAAGTGTTCTTAATGTTCTGAGAACATGATTTTAAATAGAACCATGAGGAAACCTGTAGCAAACGTTATGCTGAAATACTGAAATTCCCATCACAGAAAAACGTTGTTTCTTAACGTTCTTTGAACGTTCTGAGAACATGACTTTAACCATGAGGAAACATAGAAAACGTTATGCTGAAGTACTGTAACTCCCACTGAAGAACGTTGTTTCTTAACATTCTCTAACCGTTCTGAGAACATGATTTTAAATAGAACCATGAGGAAACCTGTAGGAAACGTTATGCTGAAGTACGGAAATTCTCACAGAAGAACATTGTTTCTAAACGTTCTCTGAACTATTTGAGAATATTCCCCATGTTAAACCAGTTGGAGACGTTCCTAGAACATTACCAAAATTTTAATAAAATCTAACCATGTTTGAACTTTTAGGAAATATCAAGAAAATTACATTTTTTGTCAAGTTCCTTTAATGTGCTGAGAATGTTCGAAAGCCAAGCAACTATCCTGCACCATTCCCACAACGTTGTGGGAAGGTTGTATGCAAAATAACCATAGGACAACCACGCGCTCACCAAGCGCTAAGAAACATATGGTTCTGAGAACATTATGTGCTAGCTGTATGTATCTCAGTAAAGCACAGACAAGACAGCTGTCACGGTTTCGGCCGAGGCTGCCTCTCTCCCTTGTTCGGGCAGGTTTCGGCGTTCGTCGTCTCCGGAATTCTAGCTGCCACCGCTGTTTGTTTCTTGTTCGTTTGCTTTGGTCTGTTTGTTTTTACACCTGTTTCTGTTTTGGCGTAATTAGTGTCCTATAAGTTTCTCGTTGTGTTTGTCTAGTGTTGTGTGTAATTGATTTTCCGTCAGTTGTGTGTATTGCTCGGTTGAGCTTCTCTCCATTATTACTGGAGTATTTCCGCACCTGTTTGTGCGTGGTTACTATTTTGTCGCACCTGTTTGTGCGCGGTTGCTATTTTGTCGCACCTGTTTGTGCGCAGTTTCTTTTCGCCTTCGTGCGTGATTGTTGCCTCCGGGCAAAGTTTCCATTTGCCTTGGTTTGGCCTATAATACAAGCCTTTGGGAATATCGTTCTGAGTCCTGCGTTTGATTCCACCATTACACCCACCGCACGCCTGACAGAATTACACACCCTCAATGGAATCAGCAGGAGCCGAAGCAGCTCAGACGAGACTGGAGGCCCAGGTTCGGGACCAACGAGAGCAGATCCAACAGATGGGGACCGCCCTGCAGGAGGTGATTTCCACCATCCGAGGCTGGGGTACGCCTCCACCACCTCCCTCCCTGCCAGCACCATCGGCCAGCCCGCTCATTCCAGCGCCGGAACCTCGAGGAGTCCGACTATCTCTCCCGAGGGCCTACGACGGGACCGCGGCTGGGTGTCAGGGATTTCTACTCCAGGTGGAGCTATACCTGGCCACAGTGCACCCGGCACCTTCGGGGCATGAGAGCGTGTCCGCCCTGATCTCCTGCCTGGCCGGTAAAGCGTTGGAGTGGGCCAACGCGGAGTGGAGGAAGATCGACGCCACGACGATTACATACGACGAGTTCTCCCGCCGCTTCAGGGCGGTGTTTGACCATCCCCCGGAGGGGAAAGCGGCGGGGGAGCGTCTGGTCTTCCTCCGGCAGGGGAGGAGGAGTGCCCAGGAATTCGCTCTTGAATTCCGTACTCTAGCGGCAGATGCAGGGTGGAATGATCGGGCCCTCATCGATTTATACAGATGTAGCCTACGAGAGGACGTCCGTCGGGAGCTTGCTTGTAGGGACACCAGCCTCACTTTCGACCAGCTGGTCGACATGTCCATCAGGCTGGATCACCTGCTGGCTACCCGCGGACGTCCTGCGGAGGGTCCGTCCATTTCACCCTCCAGCGCCTCCGAGCCGTGTCCTATGGAGCTCGGGGGCGCTGGCGCTAGAGAAAGGAGGAGTCGGCAGGCTAGGGGGTCCATCCACTGCACCAACTGTGGTCGGGGAGGACACACCGCGGCTAGGTGCTGGGGATGGCCTCCTAGGGGAGATGACGACAGGTCCCACACTGGGGATTCCCTCCAGGTGAGTAGGCGCCCCACTCACCCAGAGCTCACTGTTGCCCATTTTTGTATACCTGTCAGTTTTCCACAGGTAGCACCTCATTCCCAGCATAAGGCGCTGGTAGATTCAGGCGCGGCTGGGAATTTTATTGATAAAAAGTTTTGTTTAGCGTTAGGGATTCCCCTTACTCCTGTTGATGTTCCTTTCCCCGTTCATGCCCTAGATAGTCGTCCGTTGGGTACGGGCTTGATCAGGGAGGTCACGGCGCCACTTAGGATGTGTGCGCAGGGGGATCATCAGGAGATGATTCAGCTGTTCCTGATTGATTCTCCTGCGTATCCGGTGGTGCTGGGCATGCCCTGGTTGAGTACCCATAACCCAGCTATTTCGTGGCAGGAGAGGGCTCTGATGGAGTGGTCTGCTCAGTGTGTGGGTAGATGTTTGGGCGTTTCCGTAGGGGCTACCTCGGTGGAGAGTCCAAACCAGGTGCCCGCATTGCCCGTTCCACCTGAATATGGGGATTTGGCTATTGCGTTTAGTAAGGCGAGGGCGACGCGGTTGCCACCCCATAGGCAGGGGGATTGTGCGATAGACCTCCAGGCAGGAGCTGCGCTCCCACGGAGCCATGTGTATCCTCTGTCTCAGGAGGAGAAGAAAGCTATGGAGGTTTACATAGACGAATCTCTGAGACAAGGATACATACGGCCTTCCACTTCCCCTGCGTCCTCGAGTTTCTTTTTCGTGAAGAAAAAGGATGGTGGTTTGCGTCCGTGCATCGATTACCGTGGTCTCAATCAGATTACGGTGAAGTATAGTTATCCACTCCCGCTGATTGCGACCATGACTGAGTCGTTGCATGGGGCGCGTTTCTTCACGAAATTAGATCTCAGGAGCGCGTACAACTTGGTGCGCATCAGGGAGGGTGATGAATGGAAAACAGCCTTTAGTACCACCTCGGGCCATTACGAGTATCTGGTCATGCCATACGGGTTGATGAACGCTCCGTCAGTTTTCCAATCATTCGTGGATGAGATCTTCAGGGACATGCAGGGGCAGGGAGTGGTGGTGTACATTGATGACATTCTCGTGTACTCGCCTACCCGTGTCGAGCATGTGGCCCTGGTGCGAAGAGTGTTGCGGAGGCTGGTGGAGCACGACCTGTACGCGAAGGCAGAGAAGTGTCTGTTTTTCCAGGAGTCGGTCTCCTTTTTGGGTTATCAGTTGTCTGCGTCAGGGGTGAAGATGGAGGTAGACCGGGTGTCGGCCGTGCGTAATTGGCAAACACCAACTACTGTGAAGGAGGTGCAGCAGTTTTTGGGGTTTGCAAATTACTACAGGAGGTTTATCCGGGGTTTTGGACAGGTGGCAGCTCCCATCACGTCTCTGTTGAAGGGGGGGTCCGGTGCGTCTGCAGTGGTCGGCCGAGGCGGACAGGGCGTTTGGGAGGCTGAAGGACCTGTTTACCTCGGCCCCGGTGCTGGCGCATCCGGATCCCTCTTTGCCGTTCCAGGTAGAGGTGGACGCGTCGGAGGCCGGTTTAGGAGCCGTGCTTTCACAACGGTCTGGCGCGCCACCTAAACTCCGCCCCTGTGCTTTTTATTCCAAGAAGCTCAGTCCGGCGGAGCGGAACTATGACGTAGGGGACAGGGAGCTGTTAGCCGTGGTACAGGCTCTAAAGGTGTGGAGGCACTGGCTTGAGGGGGCTCAACACCCTTTCCTCATTTTGACGGACCACCGTAACCTGGAGTACATCCGGGCGGCGAGGAGGCTGAACCCTCGCCAGGCAAGATGGAGTATGTTCTTGACCAGGTTTACTTTTAAGATCACGTACATCCCTGGGTCACAGAATGGCAAGGCAGATGCGCTGTCTCGGCGGTATGACACGGAGGAGAGGTCCGTGGAGCCCACTCCCATACTGCCTGAGTCGTGTCTGGTGGCACCGGTAGTGTGGGAGGTCGATTCTGAACTCGAGCGGGCGTTACGCACCGACCCTAGTCCACCACAGTGCCCGGAGGGTCGGAAGTACGTTCCGCTCGAGGTTCGGGATCGATTGATCTATTGGGCTCACACGTCACCCTCCTCTGGACATCCGGGTATCGGCCGGACAGTGCACTGTCTTAGTGCCAAGTACTGGTGGCCCACGTTGGCAAGGGATGTGAGGGTTTATGTTTCCTCCTGCTCGGTGTGCGCCCAGTGTAAGGCGCCTAGACATCTACCTAGGGGTAAGTTGCTACCCCTGCCCGTTCCACAACGACCATGGTCCCACCTCTCAGTGGACTTTATAACAGACCTTCCCCTCTCCCAAGGGAATACTACCATCCTGGTCGTGGTGGACCGGTTCTCTAAGGCCTGTCGTTTGCTCCCCATGCCGGGTCTTCCTACTGCCCTACAAACTGCCGAGGCACTGTTTACCCATGTGTTCCGGCACTACGGGGTACCCGAGGACATTGTGGCTGATCGGGGTCCCCAATTCACCTCCAGAGTCTGGAGAGCGTTTATGGAGCGGTTGGGGGTCTCGGTAAGCCTCAACGCGTAAACCAGGATGTGGGTAGGTTTCTCAGAACATACTGCCGGGACCGGCCGGAGGAGTGGTCGAGGTACGTTCCCTGGGCCGAGATGGCCCAGAATTCCCTACGCCATTCCTCCACTAACCTAACTCCATTTCAATGTGTGTTAGGTTACCAGCCGGTTCTGGCACCCTGGCAGCAGAGCCAGATCGAGGCTCCTGCGGTGGATGAGTGGGCGCGGCGCTCGGAGGAGACTTGGAACGCTGCACACGTCCACCTGCAGCGGGCCCTCCGACGTCAGAAGGCGAGCGCTGATCTCCACCGCAGTGAGGCACCGGTGTACGCACCTGGTGATCGAGTCTGGCTCTCTACCAGAAACCTGCCCCTCCGCCTGCCCTGTCGGAAACTGGGTCGGCGGTTTGTAGGGCCATTTAAAGTCCTGAGAAGGTTGAACGAGGTATGTTATAGGTTAATGTTACCTGTGGAGTATAAGTGTATTAACCCCTCGTTCCATGTGTCCCTTCTCAGGCCGGTGGTAGCGGGCCCACTCCAAGAAGATGAGATCTTGGAGACTCCTCCGCCCCCGTTGGACATCGAGGGGGCACCGGCGTACTCCGTGAGATCCATCTTGGATTCGAGACGTCGGATGGGGGGTCTCCAGTATCTAGTGGAGTGGGAGGGGTACGGCCCGGAGGAGCGGTGCTGGGTGCCGAGGAGAGACGTGTTGGACCCGTCGCTCCTGACGGAATTCCATCGGGGGCATCCGACGCGCCCTGCGCCGCGTCCTCCTGGTCGTCCCCGAGGCCGGAGTCGGCGCACGTCTGGAGCCGCGCGTCAAGGGGGGGGTACTGTCACGGTTTCGGCCGAGGCTGCCTCTCTCCCTTGTTCGGGCAGGTTTCGGCGTTCGTCGTCTCCGGAATTCTAGCTGCCACCGCTGTTTGTTTCTTGTTCGTTTGCTTTGGTCTGTTTGTTTTCACACCTGTTTCTGTTTTGGCGTAATTAGTGTCCTATAAGTTTCTCGTTGTGTTTGTCTAGTGTTGTGTGTAATTGATTTTCCGTCAGTTGTGTGTATTGCTCGGTTGAGCTTCTCTCCATTATTACTGGAGTATTTCCGCACCTGTTTGTGCGTGGTTACTATTTTGTCGCACCTGTTTGTGCGCGGTTGCTATTTTGTCGCACCTGTTTGTGCGCAGTTTCTTTTCGCCTTCGTGCGTGATTGTTGCCTCCGGGCAAAGTTTCCATTTGCCTTGGTTTGGCCTATAATACAAGCCTTTGGGAATATTGTTCTGAGTCCTGCGTTTGATTCCACCATTACACCCACCGCACGCCTGACAACAGCACAGTCAAGAAAATGGTTCACGAGGGCACAGTCACTGCCACGGACAAGAGAGCTCGGTCAAAATAACAGGGTCAGTACATGGTTGTAATAAAAACATATGCCATCAACTACACGCTGCAACATTAACAATACGTCCATAAGTCCTATCATGTCTCAGCCTCTCAAAGAAAAATAGAAAACTGTTCTGACATTGACTAAGATCACAGGAAAACACTGAGATAAACACACACAGCACTGAGCTAAGATATCCTGTGTGTGTGTGCGTGTGCGTGTGCGTGTGCATGTGCGTGTGTGTGTGTGTGTGTGTGTGTTGAGGATGGAGATGGACATCTTGTGACAAAGCAGGCTACCTGCAGGAGAACGATTTAACTATTTCATTCCTTGCCTCACAACCACTTCCAAATTATTCCCTTTTGTACCTTTTATTGTATCTGCATTGATGTTTTGCTACTCCTGTTTACCTGTTTTGGATACATCTGTATGTTTATTAAGCTGCTGTAACAATAGGACAATACAGATATTCTTAATAGGATTGTCTGTGGTTTGAATGGAGAAAATGAGTCTCTAAGGTGAAAAGTTTTGAGTTTATAGCTTCAGGTTGAAGTGTACTGCAGCTGAGGTTCAGTGCACCCAGTGCCACAGGTAGCATAACAACACATTACAGGGTGAGTTTAGGGTTAAGAAACTCAATGCCTTTTCCCCTTCAGTGCCCACAGGTATAAATAATGTATAGAATATGAAAACAGAGTTGCTGAGGGAAAATATAAACTTACAGTCACTCAACATACACCCTGGTATGCCTGCCATCCACAAGGACATAGGCTGCTTTAACACATCTTTAGGTCATCTCCTGCCTCCCTGTCCCACCTAGTCCCTGCAATCCACAGAACTAAAACGCACACAACTGACATGGTTGTCTTTTCAACATGAAACTTCAATAGCTTAACAGAATCGCACCTACTAAGTGGAACTGACAGATAACCTATATAATGGCCAGAACATCAAGGGTGGAAAAATAGTTAATCAAAACAGCTATCCAAGATGGCCACCTGTCTGTCTGGCCCGGTTCCCTTCCCCTCCCAGCCCTTCTAGCCCTACCTGGTCCCACCATCCGATGAGCCAAGGTCTCGAGCAGGTCTCACAGAACAGGTCTACTAGAGGTGTCCTGCGCTCCGCTGCCGTCCCAGCCCCTTCCAGAACCCCTCCGGCAGCCGCACCAAGGTCCAGCTCCAGGTTTGCCCCTCCTCCCCTCCCCTGCAGCTGGCTGTAGCTGGTGGAAGAGCGGGGCAGCCGGTAGCCCCCTGGCACGGGCGAGGGGCAAGGGGACGGCGAGGCGGGGTCAATGGCCTCTACCACACCCATGCTTAGGGTGATGGGGGGCACGGGGCGCTTGCCCAGACAGGAGGACCGGTAGTGGAGCGGGCTGGGGGTGGGGGCGCTGCAGGTGTCCCAGCAGCATGAGGAGGGATTCGTCGTCAGCGTGTGGGCAGCGTGTAGGCCGCAGCCAGCCAGGCCGGGACACTCCAGAGCGACAGCTTCCCCCCGCCGGGTGTGGGGGGGCGAGGGGTGGAGGGGGAGAGGGACAGGGTCCACTGGTGCTCACAGTCCGTCCCTACATGCAGTTCTCCTGGAAGCAGGACACCCACCCAGTGCGTCCAGATATGGGCCCCAGTGTGAGGACGGTCCACAGATGAGGGTGCCCCGCAAACGGCAGGCCAGGAGCCCCCTGGATCCCCAAGCTCCAGAGACTACATCTCATCCCAGCTGGTGAGCAGAACTGACCCAAATCAAACAGCAGGGTGGGGAGAGGGGGAGGATAGGATGGGGGAGGATGGAGAATGAGAGAGGGATCGTCTGAAGGGCAAAGAGAGGCAATGGAGGAGGAGAAGGAAGAGAGAAAGGGTGAGAGAGAAAAGGCAAGATGTTATAATGAAAGATAGAAGGTCAGGGAATAGGAGATTGGCGACAGACAGTCAGACCGACAGACAAACAGACAGACAGAGATGGAATTAAAAGAGGAGCTTAGAAGGATGGAGGGATGGAAAGACGGTGATGACAGGGTGGGAAAGATGACCGTAGTATTGAGCGATGGGACAGAGAAAGAGGACAGACAGAGACAGAGAGAGAGAGGGAGACGAATGGTAATGGAGAGAGAAAGAGAAGGAAGGAGAGACCGAGAGAGAGAGAAATAGGGAGGCAGGCCTGTGCTGTAGTTAGCAGACGGTCGGTCAGGCTACAGAATCACAGCAGAGCTCTTGGTGAGGGAAAAAACAGGCTCTCTCCTTGTCTCCCTGCGTTGCGTCTACTCTGCACAGCGCCCCTCCCCCACAGCGCACCGGATCCAGGGGCCGGGCCCAGTCGTCCTCCTGCTGCATCAGCCCCGTATGTACCTCAGCGATGATCCCAACACACACACAGTCCACAGTCCCCTCCCAGTAGCTTCCCCCGCAGTATCCCAGTCACTCCATCGTGGCTCCCTGGGCTGGTTAAATTATGCCTGAGGTTGAAACTAATCCAAGAGCTTCAGGCTCCCCTTATCTTTCCTTCCTCTCTTCTTCCTCCGCCGTAGCAGAGCACTGCTGCCTCCTGTAGCGCCGTCTCCCTGGATGCTGTAGACAGCCCTTGCAAGCTAATCAGCCTGACAGCGTGCACTTGTGTGTGTGTGTGTCTTGAGAGTGTATGTGTGTGTGTGCAACCTGAACGTGCATGTGCTGCAGACAGCATGTACGCCTGTCGGAAATATGTGTGTGTGAGAGAGAGAGTGTGTTCATATGTGTGTGTGCATGTTGCTGTGCTTTTGTGTGTATGTGTCTTTATGTCGCCTGTCTGCTCTTAAAGACCACAGCATTCGCTCTGCTTCTCTGTCAGCCAGGAGCACACACACACACACTCTCCCCCCTCTCTCACTCTATCTTTCTCTCTCTTGCCCTCTGTCTGTCTCTCAAACACAGGCATCCTTACACACATACAAATCCAAACTGCTGTCTTTTGCGTTCTGAAACAGTTGCAACATGCTACATATTCCCCTCAGGGTGATAAGAAAAACAAGAATACCACACTGTCTCTTTTAGACAGAACACTGTTGAAGGAACCTTGCCTCTTTTTCATTGGTCGCTGCCCAGACCACATGCCTTGTGGTCAGAGTGGTGAGCCAATGAGTAAAAGGGAAGGGCAGACCCTGCTGTTCGATAGCAACCAAGGTTACAGCAGAGACATCAGCATCAGGACCTGTTCCCCCTCCTCCCTCTTCTGCTCTGTTCTGTGTCCTCCCTTCCCACCCACAGACCCTCACCCTCCCCTTCTCTCTCTCTGTCTGTCTGTCTCTCTCTCTCTCTCTCTTTCGCTCTCTCACTCTCGCCGTCTCTCTCTCTCCATCCTAAATTTTAAGCGGAACATCTCGCTGCAGCTCATGCATTCATGTGCACAAATACACATCCGCTACAAACACACACTCTAAACAGCAGTATACAGTACACACATATCACCCATACATTTGTAAATATAGAGGATCTGACAAATCTTTGAACATATTCGCACATTCTGTGTACATGCACACATATATTCCCTTCAACCTCAAAAGGACAATACACAAATCCCAAACATCACTGAGACTAACAGCTCCTGCGAGCCACAAGACTGTGATAGTCTACTGAGCTAAAAGCTAGATATTATCCTGGGGAGCTAACCCAAGTCTTCACGTGTCAGTCAAGGATACTCGTCACGAGAGTGTGGTTGACCGAACCACCTCTGTTACATTAGCTTGGCCAGTCCACAGTCCACATTCACACAGTTCAGTTCCACCAAATGCAAACCAGCCTCACAGACATTAATGAAAGATACAGTATTGGGGAATGATAATAGTATTGATATTTAGTTATGCACAGTTGGACTAGGAAACACAAATACGTTGAGGTTGTGGTAGAGGGTATAGGGAAGGGGCATGGCGATGAGGGCCATGTGTTAGGGGCGGGTGGTGTGGTAGTGGTAGTGGTAGTGGTGGTGTATGGTAGTGGTAGTTGTGGTGTAGGGTATTGGTAGTGGTGGTGTAGGTAGGGTAGTGGTAGTGGTGGTGTAGGGTAGTGGTGGTGTAGGGTAGTTGTGGTGGTAGTGGTAGTGCAGTAGTAGTGGCAGTGTTACTGGTGGTGGTGTAGGGTAGTGGTAGTGGTGGTGTAGGGTAGTGGTGGTGGTAGTGTAGGGTAGTGGTAGTGGTGGTGGTAGTGTAAGGTAGTGGTAGTGGTGGTGTAGGGTAGTGATGGTGGTAGTGGTGGTGTAGGGTAGTGGTAGTGGTAGTGGTGGTGTACGGTGGTGTAGGGTAGTGGTATGTGGTGTAGGGTAGGGTTGTGGTGGTGGTTGTGGGTGTAGGGTATTGGTGGTGTACGTGGTGGTGTAGGGTGTGTACGTTGTGTTTGGGTGTGGTGGTGTTTGGTAGGTCTGTGTGGTTTGGTGGTTGTGTAGTGTTTGGTGGTGTTCTGGTAGGATAGTGTGGTTTGTGGTTAGGGTCTGTAGGTTTTGGTATTTGGGTTTCGTGGTTATGGTTTGTTCGTTGTGTGTGTGTGTAGTGTGGTTGTGGTGTGGTGTGTGTGTAGTTCGTGTTCCTTGTTTTCGATTGTTGTGTATGTTGTGTGTGTCTTGGTCGTTAGTGTTGGTGTAGTGTAGTTGGTGGTGTTGTTGTTGTGTTGTAGTCGTAGGTCGTTTGTGTTTGTGTGTGTAGGTCGTGTAGGTTTGGTGGTGTGGTTCGTTTTGTGGTGGTGTGTCGGGTGTGGTGTGTGGGTGTTTGGTAGTGGTGTGGTTAGTGTTTCGTGGTGTATGTTCTTGGTTGGTGTTGTTCGGTCTGGTGGTGGTGTGGTCGGTGTGTGGTGGTTCGGTGTGTTCTGGTGTTTTCGGTGTATGGTGTTGTGCTTGTGTGTGGTGTCGTTGTGTTGTCCGTAGTGTGTTTGTTTTTTGTTTGGGTCGTGGTTTGGCTGTTCGTTGGTCTGTGTTTCGGGTTGTTCTGTTCGTGGTGGTTGGTGTTGGTTTCTGTGGTGTCGTTTCTTTTTGGTTTTTTCTTTGTAGTTTGTGTTTGTGTGTTGGTTCTTGGTTGTCGTGTTCTTTTGTGTGTGTGTGGTCTTGTGTTGTGTCTCTTTTGTTGTAGTGTCTGGTTGTGGTGTGTTTTCTGGGTCTGGTCTTGTGTTCTTGTAGTTGGTTTCGTGTTTAGTAGTTTGTTGTGTGTTTAGTCTTGTCGGTTTTGGGGTTGTTGTTTAGTTGGTATGTCTTTTGTCTGTGTCGTGTATGTCTTTGTTGTTTTTCTTTTGTTTTAGTGGTTTTTTTTAGTTTTTTTTTTTGTTAGGTTTTTTTCGGTTTCTTGGGGGGTTTGTATTTTTTTGGGGTTTTTGTTGTTTTGTGTTTTGCTTTTTTTGGTTTTTCCCTTTTTTATTTTTGTTTGTGTCATTTTAGGGTTTGTTTTTTTGTTTTTTGGGTTTTGTTTTTTTCTTTGTTTTTGTTTTGGGCGTTTTTTTTTTTTTCTTTTTTGTTGTTTTTTTTTTTCTAGGTCTTTTTAGTGTGGTTGTGGGTTTTTGTTGGGTTTTTTTTTTTTTGTTTGGCTTTTTGTGGGCCGGGTTTTTTGTTTTTTTTTATTTTTTTTTTTTAGTTTTTGGGTTTATTTTGGGTTTTTTGTTTGTTTTTTCTTTTTTTGTTTCTTTTTTTTTTTTTTTGGGGTTCTTTTTTGTTTTTGGTTTTTTTTTTCTTTCCTTTGTCATTTTTTTCGTTTTTTGGTTTTTTTTATTTTGTTTTTTTGTTTTTTTGTGTGGTGTGCTGGTGGTTAGGGTTGTCGGTTTGTTTGAGTTTCTCTTGTGTGGTGGGTTGTTGTTGTGGTTGTAGTGGGTGTTGGTTGTGTCGTTGTATTTGTTGTGGTGTAGTTGGTGGTGTCGTTGTAGGTGTGGTTGGTAGGGTGTGTGGTGTGTTGGTTTGGTTTTGTGTGTGTCGTTATGTGGTGGTTTGGTGTTGTGTGTGGTTGTTTGTAGGTCGGGTATTTTGGTGGTGTCGTTCTGGTGTGTGTGGGTTGTCTGTTTGTGGTGTAGTGTCTGTCTGTTGTTTTTGGGTTTGTTTTTGTGGTAGTTTGTCGTTTTATGTATTGTATGGTGTGTGGTTGTAGTGTGTTTTGTGTTTGTCTGGTTGTGTTTGGGTAGGTGGTGTGGTGTGGTGTGGTTGGGTTTGGTTGTGTGGTGTTTTTTGTAGGGTATGGTATGGTTTTGTTCTTATTTTATTGTTTGTGGTCTTTTGTGTTGTTGGGGGGGTTTTTATGTTGTTTGTTTGTTTTCGTGGTGGTGTTTTTTGATGGTTTTGTTTTTTTTTTGTTGCTTGGGTTGGTGTTGGTTTGTGGGTCTTTGTTGGTTTATGTGTGGTTTTTGGTAGGGTTGTTTCGGTATTCTTGGTATCGTTTTTGGTAGGGTAGTGGTAGTGGTGGTGTAGGGTAATGGTACTGGTAGAAGTGGTAGTACCTTGTTGGAGGCCATGTCACCGACGCTGCGGTGGGTCTGGATGGTCTCCAGCTGGTCCAGACACCAGTCTAACTCAGCCAGTGTCTCCCTGGCCATCTGCTGGTACGTCTCATCTACAGACACACACACACGAGAGGAGAGGGTGGCATTAATGTACTGATGGTCCCGTGTAGCTCAGTTGGTAGAGCATGGCGTTTGCAACGCCAGGGTTGTGGGTTCAATTCCCACGGGGGGCCTGTATGAAAAATGTATGCACTCACTAACTGTAAGTCGCTCTGGATAAGAGTGTCTGCTAAATGACTAAAATGTAAATGTATGCATTATTATAACCGGTATGATTTATCTCAGCATTGATATAATATAGTGTATCATAATATAATGGCCTGTGTAACGGGTCATATTATCTGCATCTGTGTGTTCTCTTGAACTGTATCAGCCAAATTGCTACATTTGTAATTTATTAGAATTGTTCAGTTGAGACTCCAGATTGACACTTATTCATTCAAATCATCTGCAGAATTAAATGCAGCCTACCGGTATGCATTATTGAGAAAGCCACAGGCCACCGTGCTGCAAATTCTCCTATTAATATTGGTGCATTTTTTATGAGTTTTTGGAAGCTTGAGTGCACACTACCAAACAGTGTGAGTTGTGTGGGAGAGTGTTCCCAATCAGTAGTGACTAAAGTTCATTTTAGCAGGAAACCTACCAGAGAGTGTTGCCTGGGGAACAGTGGGTTGGCTTGTCACTGGTGACCTCCTGTGGACAAATAGATCATTACATCATCAGAGGAAGTGATTAAGAGTGCCAACTAGTGGACTCTAAGAACATTACAGTGATACAGGGCATGAATTGTGTAGTGTAACAACATTACACTGGAAATAGATAAGCAAACGTATATAAGCTCATCTGTATTATGGGCAGTAAATATTGTGAGGAATAATAAACTATTTGAATAGATCTGCATCGCAGTCCTTTGAAATATTATTGTAGCCAATAATATTAAAAACAATGCCTCCTATAAGCTCAGCTCTCTCAGCTCTCAGCTATCTCTTTCTCTACATTGTGGTTCAACTTGCAATCTAGTGAGGGAGGATTCTGTTTGGAGCTGAGGGCATCATTCACACTAATTATGTCTCTAGATAATTCCATGGTGCATTGTTACTGCTCATATTGACGTACTGCTAAAAATCCTGCCAACTCATGCTCTGCCTGTTTCTTGCATTACAAACTAGGATTTATTTAGCATTATTGACCACTTCTATCCTTGTGAATACCCAGTCAGTCAGGTAGTCAGTCAGTCAGGCTGTCTGTCAGTCAGTATGTCTGTCTGTCTGTCTGTCTGTCTGTCTGTCAGTCAGTCAGTCAGGTAGTCAGCCAGTCAGGCTGTCTGTCAGTCAGTATGTCTGTCTGTCTGTCTGTCTGTCTGTCTGTCTGTCTGTCTGTCTGTCTGTCAGTCAGTCAGGTAGTCAGCCAGTCAGGTAGTCTTTCAGGCAGTCAGTCAGTCAGGTAGTCTTTCAGGTAGTCAGTCAGTCAGTCAGGGACTTCCACTGGGGACATGCTGTTCTCAGCAGAACACAATAAAGACACAATGTGATGAGAGTATTGCCACATTATAGCCTACTGATATGACACAAAGTTATGACAAAATATAAGGAAGATATTTACTAAAACTACATATGAAGAGTTTCATTCAAAAACGCTAAATATCCATTTTCAGAAATGTTGGTAAATTATCTTTTACTGTTTAACGAAATTATGAAACAGATAGGTGTTTTTTCACTATCTAATCATGGCATGTAGTTGTACAATGACAGACATGTCCAGTTGAAGTCGGAAGTTTACATACACTTAGGTTGGAGTCATTAAAACTCGTTTTTCAACCACTAACAAACTATACTTTTGGCAAGTCGGTTAGGACATCTACTTTGTGCATGACACAAGTAATGTTTCCAACAATTGTTTACAGACAGATTATTTCACTTATAATTCACTGTATCACAATTCCAGTGGTTCAGAAGTGTACATACCCTAAGTTGACTGTGCCTTTAAACAGCTTGGAAAATTCCAGAAAATGATGTCATGGCTTTAGAAGCTTCTGATAGGCTAATTGACATAATTTGAGTCAATTGGAGGTGTACCTGTGGATGTATTTCAAGGCCTACCTTCAAACGCAGTGCCTCTTTGCTTGACATCATGGGAAAATCGAAAGAAATCAGCCAAGACCTCAGAAAAATAATTGTAGACCTCCACAAGTCTGGTTCATCCTTGGGAGCAATTTCCAAACGCCTGAAGGTACCACGTTCATCTGTCCAAACAATGGTACGTAAGTATAAACACCATGGGACCACGCAGCCTTCATACCGCTCAGGAAGGAGACACGTTCTGTCTCCTAGAGATGAACGTACTTTGGTGCGAAAAGTGCAAATCAATCACAGAACAACAGCAAAGGACCTTGTGAAGATTCTTAGATGAAACAGGTACAAAAGTATCTATATCAACAGTAAAACGAGTCCTATATCGAAATAACCTGAAAGGCCGCTCAGCAAGGAAGAAGCCACTGCTCCAAAACCGCCATAAAAAAGCCAGACTACGGTTTGCAACTGCACATGGGCACAAAGTTCGTAGTTTTTGGAGAAATGTCCTCTGGTCTGATGAAACAAAAATAGAACTGTTTGGCCATAATGACCATCGTTATGTTTGGAAAAAGGGGGTTGCTTGCAAGCCGAAGAACACCATCTCAACCGTGAAGCACGGGGGTGGCAGCATCATGCTGTGGGGGTGCTTTGCTGCAGGAGGGACTGGTGCACTTCACAAAATAGATGGCATCATGAGGAAGGAAAATTATGTGGATATATTGAAGCAACATCTTAAGACATCAGTCAGGAAGTTAAAGCTTGGTCGCAAATGGGTCTTCCAAATGGACAATGGCCCAAAGCATACTTCCAAAGTTGTGGCAAAATGGCTTAAGGACAACAAAGTCAAGGTTTTGGAGTGGCCATCACAAAGCCCTGACCTCAATCCTATAGAACATTTGTGTGTAGAACTGAAAAAGCGTGTGCGAGCAAGGAGGCCTACAAACCTGATTCAGTTACACCAGCTCTGTCAGGAGGAATGGGCCAAAATTCACCCAACTTATTGTGGGACGCTTGTGGAAGGCTACCCGAAATGTTTGACCAAAGTTAAACAATTTAAAGGCAATGCTACTAAATACTAATTGAGTGTATGTGAACTTCTGACCCACTGGGAATGTGATGAAATAAATAAAAGCTGAAATAAATCATTCTCTCTACTATTATTCTGACATTTCACATTCTTAAAATAAAGTGGTGATCCTAACTGACCTAAGACAGGGAATTTTTTACTAGGATTAAATGTCAGGAATTGTGAAAAACTGAGTTTAAATGTATTTGGCTAAGGTGTATGTAAACTTCCGACTTCAACTGTATTTGTTTAAAATCTATCACTTGATGGTTTCATTTCAGAGAGACAAATAATAAAATGTATCCGCCTCATTCTCAGAGAAATAACTAGTACTGCTAGCTTTTACAAAGTCAAATGTAACAAATAGCTACATTTTTTAAATAAACGATAATAATAATAATAATTCAATATCCCCCTATTACCCCTATTACCAGCCTGTTCAACCTCTCTTTCATATAGTCTGAGATCCCCATAGATTGGAAAGCTGCCGCGGTCATCCCCTTCTTCAAAGGGGGTGACATTCTAGATCCAAACTGTTACAGACCTATATCCATCCTGCCCTGCCTTTCGAAAGTATTTGAAAGCCAAGTTAACAAACAGATCACCGACCATTTCGAATCCCACCGTACCTTTTCTGCTATGCAATCTGGTTTCCGAGCTGGTCATGGGTGTACCTCAGCCACGCTCAAGGTCCTAAACGATATAATAACCGCGATCGATAAAAGACAGTACTGTGCAGCCGTCTTCATTGACCTGGCCAAGGCTTTTGACTCTGTCAATCACCGCATTCTTATTGGCCGACTAAATAGCCTTGGTTTCTCAAATGACTGCCTCGCCTGGTTCACCAACTACTTCTCAGATAGAGTTCAATGTGTCAAATCGGAGGGCCTGTTGTCTGGACCTCTGGCAGTCTCTATGGGGGTGCCACAGGGTTCAATTCTCGGGCCGACTCTATTCTGTGTATATCAATGATGTCGCTCTTGCTGCTGGTGACTCTCAGGTCCACCTCTACGCAGACGACACCATTTTGCATACATCTGGCCCTTCATTGGACACAGTGTTAACAAACCTCCAAACGAGCTTCAATGCCATACAACACTCCTTCCGTGGCCTCCAACTGCTCTTAAACGCTAGTAAAACTAAATGCATGCTCTTCAATCGAACGCTGCTTGCACCCGCCCGACTAGAATCACTACTCTTGGCGGGTCTGACTTAGAATATGTGGACAACTACAAATACCTAGGTGTCTGGTTATACCGTAAACTCTCCTTCCAGACTCACATTAAGCATCTCCAATCCAAAGTTAAATCTAGAATCGGCTTCCTATTTCGCAACAAAGCCTCCTTCACTCATGCTGCTAAACATGCCCTCGTAAAACTGACTATCCTACCGATCCATGACTTCAGCGATGTCATTTACAAAATAGCTTCCAACACTCTACTCAGCAAATTGAATGTAGTCTATCACAGTGCCATCCGTTTTGTCACCAAAGCCCCATATACTACCCACCATTGTGACCTGTACGCTCTTGTTGGCTGGCCCTCACTACATATTCGTCGCCAAACCCACTGGCTCCAGGTCATCTATAAATCACTTCTAGGCAAATCCCTGCCTTATCTTAGCTCATTGATCACCATAGCAACACCCACCCGTAGTATGCGTTCCAGCAGGTATATCTCACTGGTCATCCCCAAAGCCAACACCTCCTTTGGTCGCCATTCCTTCCAGTTCTCTGCTGCCAATGACTGGAACGAACTGCATAAATCTCTGAAGCTGGAGACACATCTCCCTCACTATCTTTAAGCATCAGTTGTCAGAGCAGCTTACCGATCACTGCACCTGTACACAGCCCATCTGTAATTAGCCCACCCAACTACCTCATCCCCATATTGTTATTTACATTGTTATTTATTTTGCTCATTTGCACCCCAGTATCTCTATTTGCACATCATCTTCTGCACATCTATCACTCCAGTGTTAATACTAAATTATAATTGTAATTATTTTGCACTATGACCTATTTATTGCCTTGCCTCCATAACTTACTACATTTGCACACACTGTATATAGATTTTCTATTGTGTTATTGACTGTACGTTTTGTTTATTCCATATGTAACTCTGTGTTGTTGTTTTTACCGCACTGCTTTGCTTTATCTTGGCCAGGTCGCAGTTGTAAATGAGAACTTGTTCTCAACTGGCTTACCTGGTTAAATAAAGGTTAAATAAAAAAAATTTCAAAATACAGTAATATGATATCTGTATATAAAACATTTGCATTTGACATTTGAGTCATTTGGCAGGTGCTCTTATCCAGAGGCATTCATCTTAAGATACAGTAGCAAGGTGAGACACCCACATATCACAGTCAAATATGCAGGATATGAACATTCCATTCCAGCTAAACAATGGATATATAGCATTTTGTAAAATAAACATTTTCATACACATCTAAAATATATTATTAAAAAATCTGAGAACAGTAATATTTTACACACACATGAAGGTACCCAAAAGCAATCATTTCTGATGAAAAAACACAAAAGTGAAAAATTAGTTGATATAGTGTTTTGGAAATAAACTCTTCATATTCCGCTGAGAATAAGGACAATGAAGAGACAGACTGCACAGTTACAATACAGACACAGTGAGAAGATATCATTCAGGCTTCGATAGAGAAGAGAGATGTGACCACATTAAAAGGGGTTGAAAGGGTCATGTGGCTGACGGAATGCTACTGACTTGTTAGTGGGTGTCGTGACATTGGCGAGGATGGTGAAGTTGCTTCTTACAGTTCGTAGACTGGCCAACACCTGGGGGATGGACGGACGGACGAACGGACGGTGGGTGGTGGGGCAGAGGGGGAAGAGGGGAGAGGGGCAGAGAGGGGAGTGAGACAAATTCACTACATACTAATTTTAGCCCCTTTCAAGTTATTTACTGAATTGTTCTATCTTTATGCAGGCAATGTGAAGTGTATGCTACTTCATCAATAAACTGCAGCGCTGGTGCTTACCTGAGCAAAAGGGGTGACTATGAGATCTTCAGCATGCCTGTAGAAAGAGAGAAAATATAAAAAGGAAGGAAGGAGATGACAGTAAAGTAAGCAGGATAGATGGAGAGTTATCGCTGGAGTGTAACCTCTATGACAGTTTACATTAACAGATACCAGATATACAGTATATGTGAACCAATGGTTTACATAGCCCTATCTGAATCTAAACACAATATCACTGACCAAAAGGCATCTTTCTGAAAGGGAAGCAGACCAAGACAAATTACACCGCTATGAAGCTAAAAAGATTTCAGTAGGATTTCATTAGCATAATACTGCCATAATCATAATAATCATAAATGCCAAGTAGGTTGATTGTGATTGTATAGTGAGTAATGTACAGTCGTGGTCAAAAGTTTTGAGAATGACACAAGTATTGGTCTTCACAAAGTTTGCTGCTTCAGTGTTTTTAGATATTTTTGTCAGATGTTACTATGGTATACTGAAGTATAATTACAAGCATTCCATAAGTGTTAAAGGCCTTTATTGACAATTACATTGATTCTTGCATAATCAATGCTTGGAGTTTGTCAGAATTTGTGGGTTTTTGTTTGTCCACCCGCCTCTTGAGGATTGACCACAAGTTCTCAATGGGATTAAGGTCTGGGGAGTTTCCTGGCCATGGAACCAACATTTCAATGTTTTGTTCCCCGAGCCACTTAGTTATCACTTTTGCCTTATGGCAAGGTGCTCCATCATGCTGGAAAAGGCATTGTTCATCACCAAACTGTTATTGGATGGTTGGGAGAAGTTGCTCTCGGAGGATGTGTTGGTACCATTCTTTATTCATGGCTGTGTTCTTAGGCAAAATTGTGAGTGAGCCCACTCCCTTGGCTGAGAAGCAACCCCACACATGAATGGTCTCAGGATGCTTTACTGTTGGCATGACACATGACTGATGGTAGTGCTCACCTTGTCTTCTCCGGACAAGCTTTTTTCCGGATGCCCCAAACAATCGGAAAGGGGATTCATCAGAGAAAATTACTTTACCCCAGTCCTCAGCAGTCCAATCCCTGTACCTTTTGCAGAATATCAGTCTGTCCCTGATGTTTTTCCTGGAGAGAAGTGGCTTCCTCGCTGCCCTTCTTGACACCAGGCCATCCTCCAAAAGTATTCGCCTCACTGTGCGTGCAGATGCACTCACACCTGCCTGCTGCCATTCCTGAGCAAGCTCTGCACTGGTGGTGCCCAAATCCCGCAGCTGAATCAACTTTAGGAGACGGTCCTGGCGCTTGCTGGACTTTCTTGGGCACCCTGAAGCCTTCTTCACAACAATTGAACCTCTCTCCTTGAAGTTCTTGATGATCCGATTAAATGGTTGATTTAGGTGCAATCTTACTAGCAGCAATATCCTTGCCTGTGAAGCCCTTTTTGTGCAAAGCAATGATGACGGCACTTGTTTCCTTGCAGGTAACCATGGTTAACAGAGGAAGAACAATGATTTCAAGAACCACCCGCCTTTTAAAGCTTCCAGTCTGTTATTCTAACTCAATCAGCATGACAGAGTGATCTCCAGCCTTGTCCTCGTCAACACTTTCACCTGTATTAACGAGAGAATCACTGACATGATGTCAGCTGGTCCTTTTGTGGCAGGGCTGAAATGCAGTGCAAATGTTTTTGGGGGATTAAGTTCATTTTCATGGCAAAGAGGGTCTTTGCAATTAATTGCAATTCTGGAGTATATGCAAATTGACATCATAAAAACTGAGGCAGCAGACTTTGTGAAAATTAGTATTTGTGTCATTCTCAAAACTATTGACCACGACTGTATAGTGTTGCAGAAATCTGGAGTGTCAGTGAGGCCACTTTAACTCAGAGTGGTTTTAACCATGTGGAGTAGCCAAGGTGGTTTTGATGGCATGTGATGAACGCAGGAAGGGGAGATTGTAAGGGGGTACATACTCACCAAACCAGGGTTCAGATAGCACAATAGTTTAGCTGGGCTTGATTGAGCTTGCCTGGTGCAATAGAACCAATGGAATAGTCCAAAAAGTTCAAACCCCCGCCCAGGTTTGATACTCACCCCTCACTGTTGATGGAGGAGTTGCGTGACATGGTCTTGGGGGACATGTCATAGTCAGAGTCTGATCGGTACAGGAAGGACTCCCGGCGCTCCCCGCGACTCCTGCACCCCTCTGTGGTGAAGGAGGGGTGCAGCCCCAGCACAGGACTCGCCTGCGAATCCATGGGGCTGCGGCCAGGGGATGGACCATTCTCTGAGTCAAAACTGAAAGACAAAGTAAGAGAGAGAGGAAAGGTGTCTGGATCAATGCTTAATTAAAGGCATTTTCCTGTGGTTTATATATATTTCCACACTAAGAGGTTGGAATAAATCTGTGAAATTGTGAAAATTATGATAATGCCTTTTTAGTGTAAGAGCTGTTTAAAAAGACAGCAAAATTCCATGAACTTTCAATACATTCCCTGGTTTTCAAGAAATACTTGTTGGAGGATTCCGGATATCCTGCTTATTCCCTCCTGATTCCGTGAAACCTCCAACCGCGATTTTGGGAAAACCAGGGAATTTATTGAAAGTTCCTGGAATTTTGTAATCATAGGTGGGATGAAGTTTTGGCCTGCCTGGTGACATCACCAGAAGGTAAATTAGGAAATAGACCAATAAGAAAGAGAGTTCCAAACCTCTCTGTCAATAACACCTAGTTTTCAGTTTTCCCCTCCCCACTCAAACCACTCCCAGACAGACAGTCCTAGCAACATTCTTGCTTGAGAAATTGCTCTTTGCTAAGTTTCTTTTTAGCCATTTTAATTGAAAACAATCACAGTAAGGTACTTATTGTTACCCAGAAATTATTTGATATTCGAGATAAAAACGGCTGCATTGGACCTTTAAAATATCACTTTTGAGAGCAGCAATAAGTTGAGTGAATGATACCTTCTTTACTTCATACTAGATCCAAGTTCAAATTAAGTGGAGCTGAAGGGAGGGACTAAAAACAACAAGACAACTAATGTAAAATATACTGTGTCCGTAAAATGTATATAGGTTCAGATCTTTTGTGAAACAGCACAGTTAAAAATATATGGCAAAAAGAAATCAAACTGGATGTTCTTTGAGATAGATGGGAGGGGTTGAGGGTAGCTGAAGGATGGGATTAAAAACAAACAAAAGATAACTATTGTAAAATACATTGTGTCATAAAAATGATATAGTATGTACAGTATAAGCTGGAAGTAGAAGCCAGTGTTGTTGTTCATTAGTTTACTCCAGTTAAGGGAGTGGTGGTACGGTTAGGGGAAAATAATAAAGGAAAATACATTTTAAAGATATATGTATACAGTGGGGGAAAAAAGTATTTAGTCAGCCACCAATTGTGCAAGTTCTCCCACTTAAAAAGATGAGAGAGGCCTGTAATTTTCATAATAGGTACACGTCAACTATGACAGACAAAATGAGGAAAAAAAATCCAGAAAATCACATTGTAGGATTTTTAATGAATTTATTTGCAAATTATGGTGGAAAATAAGTATTTGGTCAATAACAAAAGTTTCTCAATACTTTGTTATATACCCTTTGTTGGCAATGACACAGGTCAAACGTTTTCTGTAAGTCTTCACAAGGTTTTCACACACTGTTGCTGGTATTTTGGCCCATTCCTCCATGCAGATCTCCTCTAGAGCAGTGATGTTTTGGGGCTGTCGCTGGGCAACACAGACTTTCAACTCCCTCCAAAGATTTTCTATGGGGTTGAGATCTGGAGACTGGCTAGGCCACTCCAGGACCTTGAAATGCTTCTTACGAAGCCACTCCTTCGTTGCCCGGGCGGTGTGTTTGGGATCATTGTCATGCTGAAAGACCCAGCCACGTTTCATCTTCAATGCCCTTGCTGATGGACTTTGTTATATACCCTTTGTTGGCAATGACACAGGTCAAACGTTTTCTGTAAGTCTTCACAAGGTTTTCACACACTGTTGCTGGTATTTTGGCCCATTCCTCCATGCAGATCTCCTCTAGAGCAGTGATGTTTTGGGGCTGTCGCTGGGCAACACAGACTTTCAACTCCCTCCAAAGATTTTCTATGGGGTTGAGATCTGGAGACTGGCTAGGCCACTCCAGGACCTTGAAATGCTTCTTACGAAGCCACTCCTTCATTGCCCGGTCGGTGTGTTTGGGATCATTGTCATGCTGAAAGACCCAGCCACGTTTCATCTTCAATGCCCTTGCTGATGGACTTTGTTATATACCCTTTGTTGGCAATGACACAGGTCAAACGTTTTCTGTAAGTCTTCACAAGGTTTTCACACACTGTTGCTGGTATTTTGGCCCATTCCTCCATGCAGATCTCCTCTAGAGCAGTGATGTTTTGGGGCTGTCGCTGGGCAACACAGACTTTCAACTCCCTCCAAAGATTTTCTATGGGGTTGAGATCTGGAGACTGGCTAGGCCACTCCAGGACCTTGAAATGCTTCTTACGAAGCCACTCCTTCGTTGCCCGGGTGGTGTGTTTGGGATCATTGTCATGCTGAAAGACCCAGCCACGTTTCATCTTCAATGCCCTTGCTGATGGAAGGAGGTTTTCACTCAAAATCTCACGATACATGGCCCCATTCATTCTTTCCTTTACACGGATCAGTCGTCCTGGTCCCTTTGCAGAAAAACAGACCCAAAGCATGATGTTTCCACCCCCATGCTTCACAGTAGGTATGGTGTTCTTTGGATGCAACTCAGCAATCTTTGTCCTCCAAACACGACGAGTTGAGTTTTTACCAAAAAGTTATATTTTGGTTTCATCTGACCATATGACATTCTCCCAATCCTCTTCTGGATCATCCAAATGCACTCTAGCAATCTTCAGACGGGCCTGGACATGTACTGGCTTAAGCAGGGGGACACGTCTGGCACTGCAGGATTTGAGTCCCTGGCGGCGTAGTGTGTTACTGATGGTAGGCTTTGTTACTTTGGTCCCAGCTCTCTGCAGGTCATTCACTAGGTCCCCCCGTGTGGTTCTGGGATTTTTGCTCACCGTTCTTGTGATCATTTTGACCCCATCGGGGTGAGATCTTGCGTGGAGCCCCAGATCGAGGGAGATTATCAGTGGTCTTGTATGTCTTCCATTTCCTAATAATTGCTCCCACAGTTGATTTCTTCAAACCAAGCTGCTTACCTATTGCAGATTCAGTCTTCCCAGCCTGGTGCAGGTCTACAATTTTGTTTCTGGTGTCCTTTGACAGCTCTTTGGTCTTGGCCATAGTGGAGTTTGGAGTGTGACTGTTTGAGGTTGTGGACAGGTGTCTTTTATACTGATAACAAGTTCAAACAGGTGCCATTAATACAGGTAACGAGTGGAGGACAGAGGAGCCTCTTAAAGAAGAAGTTACAGGTTTGTGAGAGCCAGAAATTGTGCTTGTTTGTAGGTGAACAAATACTTATTTTCCACCATAATTTGCAAATAAATTCATAAAAAATCCTACAATGTAATTTTCTGGATTTTATTTCCTCAATTTGTCTGTCATAGTTGACGTGTACCTATGATGAAAATTACAGGCCTCTCTCATCTTTTTAAGTGGGAGAACTTGCACAATTGGTGGCTGACTAAATACTTTTTTTTCCCCACTGTATGTGTATGTATGTATATGTGTATATATATATATTTGCGAGAGAAAAAAACATATGGGGGATTGGAAGTGATACAGACAATTACATTGATGGAAGTTACAATCTATCTGCAATATTAAAGCTGATCTACCCCCTAAAAAAATTATATATATATATATATATATATGAAAAAAATTATAATACAGAAAAAAGAAAGAAAAGAAGATTCAGGCCTTTATGGTAGAGTGGCCAGACAGAAGCCACTCCTCAGTAAAAGGCACATGACAGCCCGCTTGGAGTTTGCCAAAAGGCACCTAAAGACTCTCAGACCATGAGAAACAAGATTGTCTGGTCTGATGAAACCAAGATTGAACTCTTCGGCCTAAATGCCAAGCATCACGTCTGGAGGAAACCTGGCACCATCCCTACGGTGAAGCATGGTGGTGGCAGCATCATGCTGTGGGGATGTTTTTCAGCGGCAGGGACTGGGAGGCTAGTCAGGATCGAGGGAAAGATGAACGGAGCAAAGTACAGAGAGATCCTTGATGAAAACCTGCTCCAGAGCACTCAGGACCTCAGACTGAGGCGAAGGTTCACCTTCTAACAGGACAATGACCCTAAGCACACAGCCAAGACAACGTAGGAGTGACTTCGGGATAAGTCTCTGAATGTCCTTGAGTGGCCCAGCCAGATCCCGGACTTGAACTCGATCGAACATCTCTGGAGAGACCTGAAAATAGCTGTGCACAACGCTCCCCATCCAACCTGACAGAGCTTGAGAGGATCTGCAGAGAAGAATCAGAAAAACTCCCCAAATACAGGTGTACCAAGCTTGTACCCAAGAAGACTCAAGGCTGTAATTGCTGCCAAAGGCACTTCAACAAAGTACTGAGTAAAGGGTCTGAATACCTACGTAAATGTGATGTTTCCGTTTTTTATTTGTAAACATTTTCAAAAAACCTGTTTTTGCTTTGTCATTATGGGGTATTATGTGTAGATTTATGAGGGGGAAAAAACTATTTAATCCATTTTAGAATAAGGCTGTAACGTAACAAAATGTGGAAAAGGTCAAGGGGTCTGAATACTTTCCGAATGCACTGTATATATATATATATATTAAAGCTGATCTACCCCCTAAAAACAAAAGTTCAAATTCAGTTTTGAAGGAGAGACAGACCTTTATCCGAGTTCAGCCAAGGACAGCTGATCTAATGTATTTCCAAGAGCACCATACCAATCTAGCGTTACAGGCAACCACTCGACCTCAAGCACAAGATTAGGAATAATCTCAGAGAGATCCAGTCAAACAGAAGTTTAGTGAGAGTTTAGCCAAATTGTACACAGAAACATACTTCTTAGGTTTAGAGGGAGATTTCAATTTTTTGAACCATGAAATGTTTCTTCAGTTTCATCAAAAATGAAATGCACATAATGGAGAGAGATTTTGTGAAGCCACACACACACACACATCACAGGGCCTGATAACTGTGCATGGCTACTTGAACACCATGAATACCTGAGAGGAAGGTGAGAGTGAGACGACCGTCTGTGCTCTATACTGCAGTTGAGCTTCATACGGCGGAAAAACATGGAATTCACGTGTCCTCGAGTGTGGTCGTGATCAGGGGACACAGGTGAGTTGATGGAGGTGACGTAGAGAGAGGTGGGGGTCAGGGTGGGGGTGGTCAACCCCTCGGGGGTCTCCCACAGATTCATCTGTCGTGTCAGCTTCCTCTGACTCATCTCTGGGAGCTCTGGGCACGATGGAGAGGACTGACTGAAGAAACCACCATCCCTCTCTCCCTCTCTCCTTCTCTACCTCTCTCCCTCCCGCCAGCAAAAACTCTGTCTGTCAAACTTTGTCTGCTACTGCCAACACAACCAGTCACTCTCCCTCCTACGCTCCCCCCCCCCCCCCCCCCCCCCCCCACCCCCCCGCCTTGTTTCACGGTTCAGTAGCACAGCTCACGTCCCAGACAAAGAGAGTTCTCCTGCACACACCAGCACAAAATCCTGCCAGTCAGAAAGCCCTTGATAACTGACCCTAATCCTATAGTTTTATTCCTGGTCCCAATCCTCAGAGTCCACGTTCAGTTGAAGTCTTTGCTTTGATCCTGAAGCCCTGGAGTGCTGCTGCGTCTGTCCACTTCCCCTGTTCACCTCCACACCACTTTGTTCCCTGTTTCTCAGCAACTTGTGCTTGTCCTTCTCTGCCTGTGTAGGTTTGTTTTTGTTTCCTCTGTCACTGAAGGGTGGCGGTGCAGCTGTAACCCACAGCCTCTCTCTCAGATATCAGCTATCTGAACAGGGCCACTCTCAGGAGAGGCCTTCTGATAATTCACTAGCTCAGCTCTCTCTCTCTCTCCCTCGCTCTGTCTGAGTCCATATACTTTTCCTGGTGTC